TCCTTTTCCTTCTCCCTCCCTCCCTTCCTCACCCCCTCATCACCCCTCCTCTCCCTCCTCCTTTCAGCTCCCCACCTCCCCTCCACCCTCCACAAAAAAGTAAAAAAAACAAACTACAAAACAGCAAATATATATATAATCCCGTGACGTGCATCTTCGTATAAGTAAAATTTCCCCAGTCTGCTGTTTTATATTTTCCGATCGAAGGGAATTTAAATAATCCTGTTGTCATCAAAATCCCTATATCTGTGCTACCCTGTGCCTTGCGCTATGTCCAGTAGTCAGTATATATGTGACAATGCATACTGGAATAGTCATATTACGATAATTTATGAGGAAAAAGTTCATGAATTTGTTAACAAGAAATAAAATATAAAAAGGTAGGTGTCGAGACAGATACGTTTATTTTTATTGCCGTTGTAATAAGGTGTCTAGCGATGCGTTTTGAAGGCGGGGTCTTTTTGATGACGTCTATTGTGCTTAACAATAGCGGGAGGCAGTGCATGCAAAAAAAAAAAAAACCTCTTGTGCAAATGTAAGGTATTAGTGATGCAATTAAAACCTAAAATTTGCAATTTAGATATACTTTTACCCATCACCAAATGAGATCAACTACTAAAGGCATTAAAGTTGTAATAGATTGTGATAAGGATACACAGGTATATTGTACCCTCTACCAGGGCGACTGATAGATTTTTTATAGATATTCAATATAAATATAAATATTCACAGATATGTCTCTAGATAGACAGATGGTCATTTTGGATCTAAGAGCGCATTCTCAACGAATTAAGCCAGGCTTTACAAAGCCGGTGACCTAAAAATGGCGGACGTACATGAAAGAAAAACCGCCTAATCTTTTAATAGTCTCTCCGCCTCCCCACACGTCGTCCCTGCGGGGTACAGTAATTAAATCTCGGCTCCGTTCGCCATGCGGAAGCTACCTGAGAAATATTAAGTGCGCATGCTCATCAGTTAAACTCGTGGTGAAGAAAGCATGGCGGCTGAAGGCGATCGAAGGAAAAAAGCTCTTCTCTTCTATTATCTTTGAAAACAGAGACGAAAAAGGAATAATTTGGCCCGTAGAGCAGCAATGATTCGACTATCTACGGAGATAATATCACCAGAGATATTCACGGAAATATTAATGTTCGGAGCCGAGATTTAATTACTGTACCCCGCAGGGACGACGTGTGGGGAGGCGTGTGAGAGGCGGAGAGACTTTTAAAAGATTAGGCGGTTTTTCTTTCATGTACGTCCGCCATTTTTAGGTCACCGGCTTTGTAAAGCCTGGCTTAATTCGTTGAGAATGCGCTCTAAGTCTTAGAACCAAATGGCCATCTATCTATCTAGAGATATATACATGTGAATATCTATAAAAAATCTATCAGTCGCCCTGGTAGAGGGTAGGTATATTGTGCAAAGAAGCGTTCACTTCCAAACCAATTTTTTTTGCCCAAACACGTCTTGACTATAAAAGTCGAGTAAGCTCAATATGGTATCCTTTTACAAATACTGATAGACATTTAGGGCCTACTCATATATTTACTTCCCCCTGCTAAGTTTTAAAATTATTTACTAATGCAGTTAATATACTCCTATAGCCTTAGCCTCCAGACGAGATGTGAGTGTTAAAGTAATTCGATTGTAATAGTCTGAGACCACTACACGATATTATATAATGTAAAACTAATATTCTTATCCCTTACTAAATCACCGTGGCAGACATCTTTGACATATCGGTCAGCTCTTTGCTTCGTGATATCTCCGAAATGGATGTCTTTAAATTAAAGTCAAAAATTGAGCTATTATATGCATTTTGGAATAAAATTAATCCAAAAGGCGATTATTTTCCTACAAAATATTGACGCTATAGTGGCTTAATCGGGTTAAAAGATCTTTCACTTGAATAGAATATATGTCTTGACGATAATACGTTTTGGCGGGTTAGTCACGCACAGACGACACCTTATCACAGAGCCCCGTAAGGGACAATGCAGCAGACGATATTCAATCAGATTGTCGCGGAAGCGAGGAACGTGATTCAGAACCAGTCAGACGACTTTAATTTCACAAAAACAGAAGGAGGGACACAAAAACCCCTCATTAAAAGCACTCCGGGACTCCGAGCAAACTCTCATGTTGATCCTCGAACAGCCCATCGGCATAAGCGAAGTCTATATTTTCCCCCTTAGTGTTACACTTCCCCAGGTGCATAGAAAGTATGTGTGTGGAAAGGGGAAGGGAGTTAACCATTCAGAAAAAAACTAAAAAAAAAAGAAAAAAATTGCGAGAAGGGTGGGGGGGGGGGGGGACTGGCAAAATTCATGTAGCCCCCCCCTCCCCCCAGCCCCCCGCCAGCCAACTTGAAGTATGACATCTTTTGAGCGGAGACTTGATATTATTGAAATATGTATTTCGTCCCTCCCCCCTGCCTCTTGCACGTAGTACTAGCATCGTTTTACCTTTCTCTGTGGATGGGTCAGCAGTTGAAAACTGCTGCATCTACGCAAACAGTAAGTTATACAAAACGAAAACAAATCACCATTTTGTCTTTGTCACCTTTTTTATTTTCCTTGCGCAACAGGGATGATCAAAACGATCGCGAGTGAACACATTGTAAGGCTTCGGATTATGTACATAGCATTTGCAAGTTATATACAATATGTGAAATGTGTTAGCAGTTAATACCTTTTTTAAAAGTACATCTCAGAGCGTCCTATGGGCGAAGCAGACGTAAATGACAACAAATCATGTGACGAACCGTGGCACTTTGGCGCACACTGTTGAACTACACGTGATGTTTGAATACGATAGCTGACAGTCAACACTTCTCCGTTTGGAAACCTATTTTTGCAAACCATGTACAACGTCACGTCTGACCAAAATTATTCTCATGTGCCAGTTATTTTGCATTTTATCAGTTACAAAATCTAGGTGAGCAAGTAATAGATCACTTTTACTAAATACGTAATGCACTTTTGCCGATTACCCTAAAAAGGCATTCCAGCATCCATCTGTATTTTTGAGATAGTCGGAACATTAACATTCTATTTCATGGAAAAAACGTGTGTCATGTTAATTTGTTCATTCATTGCGAATTGCTTACTTATCATCCTTTGCCATTCATATATACAACCGTCTTTACCGACATATAAATAACACACGTAAATTCTTCTATACAACTTTAACATATGTACAGCAATATTTTACAAGTTGCAGTGTAACTGCTTCGAATTATGCTTCATTGGCAAGACCTGGCCATAACATAGTGCGACTATAGATAATTTCTCGCAACTGTTACTTATATCATAAATGCAAAATCATATCTATCTAAGCGCAACTGAAAACATTCACTGAAGCAGTTGCAATTATATTAAATCGACACCATTCAATTGTTCTTGCGTCCGTGAACACAACAACCGGTTTGACCAATTGTGTGCAATCGCTTATAATAAACATGGTCACCTTTTGGGCATCCAATCATATTACGACTTTTGGATCCATCCTTTTTTATTTCAAGTTCGTAATTATAACTTGGAACGTCTAACAATAGGAAAACTCCGTTATTGCGCCTTGAGCGTCCTTGTTTTTACACCCTAAGTGAATCTGTGAATTTTATGGGCGATTTAACCCAAATTTGTTTCCGTCATAAAAACGCACAGTACACGTAATCGCTTGTAAGTGTGCACCAAGTCCATACGTCAGCAGCGTTTTAGGGCAGGAAGAGGCAGATCAGCGAGTACTACGTACTGCACAGCGAAGCGGGGCGATATAAGCCAAGAGGATCGACCGCTGTTTCATTTGTGCTTCAAAAAATAAGAAAAGCTGCTATGCTCCTGCTCAAAGGTCTCAATATGACGGTCACTTCAACAGCGAGACGACTGTATTTGGGAGAATCTTGTTCTGGCTTCATAAACTAGAGTCCTCTCTCTCTCTCCGTTGCTAGTTTCGATTACATGTTATTTTATTGTGTAGATTGTTGTCTGGAAGACTTTCTTCTGTTCTTTCTTCTCCTCCCTCGCCTGGGAGACTGGTCTTCTGTAATAAATAAAATGGGAATTTAATAAGAGGTTCAAAATAAATAAATGCGACAGATTCAGAAAGGTACATCTTAACTAAAACAAAATAAGTTTTGACACTGTTTTTACACAAAATATACCCAACAATTAATAAAACTACGGCCTTGAATGAAACTTCCCTCATGGCGAATTCTTAAAGATAATAAGATACGTAACAGAAGTTATAGCGTAATTTACAATTTTTCACGATAGTTGGCGTACCTGAGCAAACTCGACAGCACGAACCTTCTACCTTCTTCTTTCGCCTACAAGAAAGTTTTGGACATCTTGGCCGCCTGCATTTCGCATTTCCATTCTGAAAAAAACAGGATTAAATTATTCACCTTAGAAAATACGAGAAAAACACAAACCTGTTTAACTTATGATTGAGCAAGAATATCACGTTAAAGAAAAAAAAACAAATAACTCACTAACTCCAAACAATTATCAGCTTTATAACCAAATTCACATCATTGTGGGTTAAGTTTACATCAATATTAAAGTCGAAAGTCGAATCATTAAATCACACATATCATAAAATCGCCAAATAAAAAGTGATGGCCGGCGGGGGTGAGGAAGGGGTATTGTTATAAACCCCCCCCCCCTCCGCTTCACCTTTAATCACAGGAAACTGCCAAATTGACAGAACGACGCACAAACATACCTTGCATTTACACGTCACACACTTAATGGCCCCCAGCGAGTGTACCCTCGGGTTCCACTCCGCACCGTTCTCGTAGTAACTCTCCCCAACCCGGCAGCCTGCTTTAGTCCCATCTCGCTGCATCTTTGGCTGGTCGACCACACTGTTTGCAGGGGGCGCTGTCACTTCTGCAATAGATAAATGTATGTGAGTGAGGTGGGTGCGGTCTTAAACAAAAACTGTGGAGCATAAATGCATTTTATGCATTAAACGATCTTTTAAAGAATTACATAACCCTTGTTATGAAACATCATATGGCGTTTGACAGGAAGACCCAAATGTGCGTTGTCGGTTTCAATAATGCAAAAGACATATAGGAATGACAAATTATGGAGAAAATGTTGAAATATTAAGAGCACTTAACATAAGATTTACCACTGAGAATAGGAAATGCTATTAGCTATGGAATAACACACTCAAAGTCTTTGAACATACCTGGACAAACTTTACAACAATCTGTCTCCCGAACCCTGATGGCGTCTTGTTCGGAACATGTCAGAGGCGGGCAGCTCAGTTTGGTGCAGTTGTATTCGTTCTTTCCCGGCTTAAGTAGAAATAGAATAAACAGTTATTACATGCAGGATTTTGTAATGCTTATTGGTATCTCAATTTTAGTTGCCGTGGTTGTTGTTGCTTGTGTGTGTGTGTGCATGCGTGCGTGTGTGTGAGTGACTGCGTGTGCGTGTGCGTGTGTGTGTGCATGTGTGTATATAAAATAGACTCCTATTTCATTAAGTTTTCAGGAATCTGAAATGAGCACTGTATGGTATCGAAACTGAGAAAATTAATTATTTCTTTAACTAACATCAACAGATTCGTTCATAAATAACGTTTACAGACACATACTGTGAAAATGCATTCAACAAAAATAAACCTACCACGCAAGAGCAGACTGCGCAGACGACAAAACCAAACGGGTGTACGTAAGGGTGCCATGGGGTATCCGCGTTGTGCCACTTTTTGTCGCCGGGAAAGTAACATTGGTCACTTGGGGACACTCTCTTCTCTAAAAACAGAATCAAAAGGAAAGGAATATATAAATCGTCACATTTTCTTTATCCTAGATGACATACACAAAATGCTTTTAGAAACTTTCTCTTAAAACAAGGTGTTTTCGACTTCAAATGACCTTCATACAATGCTATTTCTGTTAAAGAGTTAAGCTATCATTACCTGGAGGAAATAGAAATTTATACAGTGTGTTTGCAGACGTTAACCTTAAGCTCTTTATATAAACAGATATGTTTACCAAAGCCTGTAATTATACGACCGTTTACGTAAACCCAGGTATCAAATGCGGCGATGCATCACAAGAAGTCTTTAGCGTTTGAATAATCTTAACACGAACTTTAGCAATCGGATTCTGAAATGCACACTGAGGCACATACAACTTCCACAAATAGAATGTGTACATTATTTTTTGTTTTTTTTTTTCTTTCTATCTTGACATTTGGCTAACAGTCTGAGTCAGTCTAAAACTCACCACCTACGTTTTCATTTTAAGGGCACTTGACAGAATTCAATTTGTGTCGTACATTTTACATATCGTCTCAAGAAATTATTTTTTCATCATAATCATCATTTTCATTACTGGCGAACCAAATCCAGTGCCATTTCATCACATTGTGGCAGTTGTGCCTGAAGTGCAAATTGCGGTAGTTGTGACTTACCATTCTGTACACACGTGGGGCAGCACTCTCCAGGAAGTGTCACCGGGTTGTCACACTGGGCTGCGGGACAGATGACGGCCTGGCACTGGGTTTGTCCACGCTGTAAGGTACACAATAAGATAGTAAGTTTATATGGAACACCCTGAGCTAAATAACCGTCAAACCTCGTGAAACTCATTGAGAAAATAACCGCTTGCTTTGTCGTATTCGATACTTGAAACCTGTGAGAGCAAACCTTTGTTTCGGACAATGTATTTATTGATTTTTAACGCCTTAATGCTGTAATAAAGCGTGTATCTCTGACCGTCTAAAAATTAAACCAATCGGTCTAACTTTTTTTATTGCCCATGTGTTATGTGTAACGTACCTTGCAACTGCAAGTGGTGCAGACATCAGTTTTGTTTGGTACCCATGTTTCGCCATCTTCATAAAGCATGCCCTCGTATTTACATTTGATGCTCACGTATTCGTCCACCATATTGTTGCTCATGTCTTCAAGGATATGTCCTGTAGCATCCGGGTACTGTGAGGAAGTGGCGTCACGATAACAGTATCCAGGCGCAGTTGCTTGAACCTGATTTTAAAAAATCACAGCATCCGAATTGAATGATCAATATATAAAATTTTACTCTTTTTACTCATTAACATTTATCAGTTATTCGAGGTGAATACAGATAAGTGAACGGTCAAAGAAGGTATATAAACATATAAATCAGACGATGTGGTATACCACGTGATACTTACAGGTGCCCGGATGACGCCCTTGGGATGTGCTTTTATGCTGACTTGCACATATGCTTGGCCCAACTCCACATGACGGAAGAAAGCCTTTGATAAATCTTCGATTTTGCCCGATACCTGCGAAGAAGATTGATTTTTGTTTATAAAAGATACCTTTTTAAAAATTTTAAATGATTTATTTTCAGGCAACACACGAATACACAGTTCGGTTATGTACATGCTTGAGGTTATGTACAACTTTTGATGTAAAACGGTAGATTGTAAGACGGGGCGGGACTCACCTTAGAACCTGTAAAGCCTCTTATCTTCTTCTCATACGTCTTGCCGTTCACCACGTCTCCAACTTCCGCCACGAACGTGCCGTCATCTTCACGACTCAAACCGGAAACTACGATCTCGAAGTTCAGTGCGCAGGCGCGGTCGAAAGCGACCCAGGCGTGGCCCGCTGTCCCCGCTGCTAGGGGTGGGCTGAGGTTTGAACCTGACATCACGAATGGGTGACCTAAAGGGGCAATAAAGAAAAGTTATAACTATTTTTATTAAGTTTTCTTATAATTGTTAACATTATAGTTTCCCATACACCTTTAAAACAGATACCATTTTCTTTTCATAATAAGAGCGATTTAAACATCTCCAAACAATATTTATAATTATCCTTCAATCCGCTGTTATCATAAAGACGGAAATGAACATATCATTTTTATCTTGTCCTCGTATAATTTCACATTTTAACCGCATCCGTTATCATGCTACAAGCAAAACCAGTAACATGGTTTTCAGGCAGCACCCGGTCTTACCTGTATGCCTGTTAAAGCGGTCATCATACAGAAGCTGAGTGACGCGTCCTCTTAGAGCGCTGTCCTGATTTTTTGCAGTCTGTACATCTATGAAAAGCTGTTCTCGTAAAAGCATGTAAATCTCGCGAGAGTTGGGTTTTCCGAACGTCCCGTTTGCCTAGAATAAAAGCATATAAACTCAAAGACATAATGTATATTTCTCAAAACTCACGTCTTCCAAACAAGAACATGTGATGAGTTCATAAGGAATAAGAAGATAGCCGATACTGTGTTATAAAATACGTTAAATATACAACAACACACAGGATTAAGCCTTCGGAATTCCTTTCTCTAGTATACTTTACTATAACAAACCCTTGGTTTTCAGCTTGTGTTTGGTAATTATCACATATGACCCGTGTGTTTCGTTTAAAAGAATTAAAGTAAAAATAGAAATTTAATTTACCCAGCCATCAAAAGATCCTTTGTCAGCTTTGAAATCTTTGATCATCTTAGTTACTCTCTTCCTGCGGCCTTTCCTGTTCGGAGCGCCCTCCATGGTCATGCCGGTAACCTTGCTGTCTAAACCGAGCAGACGAACCTGAAAATTAACCACAAATTATGATTGCCGCGCTCTTGTGAAATATTGGTCTAAGACTAACTATACCCGCCGAACTGGGTTTGGCATCACAAAATAAATTTCTTCTGATAACTGATTTTTATTTCCAGGCTGTCTTCTTTGATTCAAGATAAATCAAAAAGAGGCTTAGTTCAAAGGTATTGCTTATGTTTCTGGTTTTTCTTCCTTAATAAGGTGGACTGATATGCACTCATATTTTAAGGTTCCAAAATCTTGATCTTAAACTTTAGAGAGGCTTTTTGTGCAACCGTAACTACGTACTGATTTGTGCGCAGTTATTGATGATCTGAATGTCAAAATTTCCAACCAGGATGGCCGAGTGGTTAAGGCGTTGGACTTAAGATCCAATGGACGAATGTCCGCGTGGGTTCGAACCCCACTCCTGGTAGCCTTCATTTTTGGTGCATGACGCGATCTCATTATCACGAGTTACATTATTGGCGAATAATAAATTCAAACAAGATGCCTATTTAATCAGAAAACACTGCTTCAAACATGATTCTATCAAGAGTACGTTATCCCTGAAACCAATTTATGAAGGCATTTGTTTTATTATCTTACCTTGTAGTGAATTCGGCCATCGTGTCCTATGGTGATGATAGCAGATCCCGCGGCAGCTGTGCGAGATTTCTCGAGACTTTCCCTGCCTGACAGCACCCCTTGGAACTCTGAAGTAAATTTTATAAATATTCTGTTAACCTCAAATATTTAGAATTAATTCAATTGACACCAGATCAGTAGACAGCTATTGCTGAATACATTCATTGGCAAAATATGAAATTCACGGTGAAGTTATTGAGGGTGTGTACATATTAAGGTATTGAAAAACGCCAGACCTTTTAATATTTATGCCGCATTACATTGAATAAACCTCAACATACAATAATGCGTGAACCGCAAACTTAATACAGGTATTCTTTTTAACAAGATTCTCCAAAACCAGCATAAAAACACTGTCTACTCACCGTTACACGTTAACTTAGGTGTTAGGTCCCCCTTGACCTCTCGGCCATTATCACTGACCACGACCATGGTCAGTTTCCCTCTGGCCAGCTGTCGGGACTCCTGCGTGGTCAAAGATGACCAGACCTCTATCAGTTCGGTGGACTGAAAGAGTATTTGGAAATACATTAGGGACTTAATATCCCATTAGTCGGCGTATTGCCAATTTATCGTTGGTCAAGTAGACTCAATTTTGGGCTAGAAGTAATGCCTAAAACTTGTAAGCTCAAACCTATATGGACGGTCGAAATTGGATATCGACAAAATGTTCTAAACTTAGTTGTAATACCATCCGCGTATTGTACGTATTAACGAAGTTTTGTAACTTCTGCCCCGACTCTGATGTAAACATTGACAAGACTCACCCCAGACGATGCTCTAACTTTCAGATTCTTCACTGGTTTGCCGTCTTTCAGAAAAGTTATGGTTGTGCTTTCTGAAACAAATATATATCAGCCTGATTAATTAAGTAAAGACAAAAAAAAAACCATTCGCGATGCCTCCTCAAGAACATATTAGTAGTGATTAATGATAACTGCCCGAGTCAGTCTGTAGGTGTATGAACAAAAAACACAGCTACCAGGAGTGGGGTTCGAACCCACGCGGACATTTGTCCATTGGATCTTAAGTCCAACGCCTTAACCACTCGGCCATCCTGGTTCGATTACTAACGTAAGACACGTGCGCGATTCGGCAAAACAGCACAAATTTAGTTTTTTCGTATGTAATCATTGACGTGGGATCATGAGAGCTGGATGGGGGAGGGATTTTTCTGAATGCGAACTCCCATCCATTTAAATTATGGACAAAATGCAGGTAAAAAGGGGTTCAAATTACTGTCGGCGAGACAGAAAAACATGATTGTGAATTTCAGCGACAAAATAAAAATGTTACTGATATTTGTGATTTTTAATTAAAATCATACGTCGAGTAAAGTATTTGCCAGCAGCCCCAATAAAACACGGCTTGTTGATAGAGTTCTTTACCTCCTTCGGCTAGAAGCCCGTCAGACATGACAACAAAGCTGAGGTCATCCCCTGAGCGTCCAAGTGTCATCATGGCCGCTGCACCACTTCCGTCTGGAACTTCTGGTTCCAGAAGACCACTGAATGTTTCTGTAAAAAAAAATAATAAAATAAAATAAAACAAATAAATAAATAAAAACAATAATTGCATGGGATTGTCTATGTTTACTGGACAAGGACGCAACTATAACTATTTCATTAAAAATGGTCTTATTCTGAAGCCGAAACTATATGCTTTGTTTATTCTTCATTAGACGAAGTAGATTTAGTATCGCGACACTAAAAAGACCTTACCTTCTTCCAAAGCTTTGTGAGTTATAACTCGGCCAGATATTTCGCCATTTGGGAATCTGTCTGTAGCCAGTGTGACAAAAAGGTTTCTGTTCTCCAGGAACTTCTGGTAAATTCCCGGCATATTAACCCACACCCCGCATACCTAGAAGTAAACGAGAACAAATGATTTTCTCCAGAAACTCTGAATATGGAATTAATGATCAAATCATCATTACATATTATATATGCTTTGCGTGTAAGGTAAAATTGTTTCCTGAAGTTCAGTTATATTTAAAATGGCCATACGCGTCATGAATAATGCTGTTGTTTACTTCATGCGCGCGTTATACACAGTCACAGTATTACGCGCGCATGAAGTACCACCGATATTGTGGAAGTCAATGGAATAACTGATTCTTACTCTGTTCTTGAACTGTTCTGTTTTCACCACTGGCACTTGGTAATAGGTCTCTCCTCTCTCGTCCGTAAATCTGATATATGTCGGAGATCCCAACCTGAAGATATAATGTATCTATCTATTTAAGGATTGGCATACATACACTTTATTTTTTTCAATAAAAAGTTAAAGAAAAACGCTTCTGATATGAAATAGAAATATTGGAATATTTTGGAATTTTTGGCTACAATAGTGTACAAAAGTGTAATATGAAATAGCATTCAGCGGTAGCTGGGTGTGCTCATTATCTAATTGTGATAGTTGAGACACCACCAACACAAACACAATCGCAATCACAACCCCACAACTTACCGTCTGCTATAATGTACGGAGTAATGGAAAGAGCCCTCAGTAAGTGTGAAGTAGCCTCTGGCCACGCCCCTGGTGGCCACAGCCTCGGGTACGCCCTTGCCGGTCAGCAAACTGGTGAACACTAAAATGATGAAAATCATTTAAGCAAATGCTATTCAGTCCATAAAATTACACCAAAAATTTCAGAGCGAGGCTTACTGGCGGCGTGCTCTCCTTCAAATGCTGAATGAGTTGACTGACAGGTTTTTAATGGAGATATCAACGGTGCTTTAGGACGACGTGACTGCTTTAAATATATTCAAGCTCACGACGACGTATTTGCGTGATGACAAATGCCGGGGTAGATTTGTGAGACTCAGTTAAAAGCATGCAATGAGCATTTGACCTATATCCAACCGAAATACGTTTTACTGAAAAATTTGGACGTTTCTCTTTGTCATTATAGTATAAACAATCCCAAACCGTTGAAAAAATTACGCTTCGAAAAATATTTTTTATGTTTAAATTACTATTTTTTCCGTTAGGAGAAAAATTACCCGGTCTCTTCCTCAATTAGGAGAGTGACTCAAACATTGAAAAAACTCAAAAACATGTATATGGCTATTCATCATGTAAACGGTTTTGGTAAGTCTTGGACATTGAAAGAAAGTGCAGAAATTTTCGGTTAATATTTTTCTACAACAAAGGTTTGGCGCTCAATGTGGGACATTTTCAAAAGCATCCACCGCGATTCCGTAATTCTGTGAAAGGAGAAACCGAGATGCAAGGCAGGCTGCCAAATGGCGTGCTTCAGGTACAAGTGTAGCGAAAAGCTGAGTTTCATAGTGGAATGTTCTCCCCATTGTTTTGGAAATATGCCATATGGCCCTACATTCAAAATCACAGAGAAAATGTAAACACAAGTATAAATGCTACACGACATCTTAAACCGCATATTGTAGGCTAAATTTATCCCTGTTTCTTTTTGGATCAAAGGAGTCCCAAATTCTGCCTACCTTGTATGTGTGAGTTTTCTCCGAATCTGGTGTCACTGACGGCTTTGTCTTCTGTGCTCCACGTGGTGACACCTTTTGCTGTAAAAAAAAAATAAATTTTTTGTTATAATTCCCTGATTAAGAAACATATTTTGTTAAGTATATATCCTATCTTTCTGTGAATCTCTGGAAAAAAAATATTAATAAAACCTTAATTGGTGTTGTAAAGGGAAAGAGGGGAAGACAAAACTAGAAACATAAAAAGTAATAAATAAAGTAAATTAATAATCTGTTAATGACGCGGACACGACACATACTGGCAACCACAAACGTCATCACAGTCGCAAATCCCGCGAGGCTGTTTGCCAGGGCAACGACGTTGCCATAGCGACTACGTCCTCCTCTTGTCGCCGTCATCTGATGTGAGAAGGTGATGGGTCTCATACCTCCAGCAACTCCCTACAGCACTCTCCGTCAAAATATGTGTCAAACGACCCCGAGTCCTTCCTATACTCAGTATGTTACGAAACCGAGGATATCCTCAAAATCCTAATTTTTTTTTTGCCTTTGGCAACGAATTCAAGACACCATCAAAAGAGACGTAATATTTATCCTTTCGTCTGCGCTGTTGAACCCAGGTGTCAAATAATTCGAAAATCACATTTTAAAGCGACAAACAAGACGCTGATTGTGACACACGTCTAGGCGGGGCCACGACTGTCATTCGGTTCGCGGGCCGCATTGACGGGGCGCTCTCTTCTTCCCGGTCCCGTGTGTTTCACTAAGTAGATGTCAGTGGGTCTCGGTGATCACGTAACTCGTCAACTCCCCCTTCGGGTCGTATGGTTAATAGATCTTAATGGTAAGCACGTTCCAACGGGCGCCGCGCGTCTTGTCCTACAGTGGGAGTGTGGGACAACATAACTTTGGTGACTTAACACTCCTTCTCACGACTACCATTCCATTTTCTTCGCACGCTGCTTTGGGAGGAAGTGTACGGACTCCATTCAGTAAAATACTCAAACGCGGCCAGATGTATTAGTCGTTGTCATGGATAAGTAGTTCAAACGCATGGCTTGTTGTGTCTCTCTGGTAGTTAAGGTGCTGTTTTCTGGTGTCCGTGAAAATGAGGTTGCGCTTCCCCTGCATGACTTCAGCAAGAACAGACAGTGAGCAATGCGTCGATGTTTAATAAATAATCACGCTGTTTTCACCCCGTGGACTTTTAACATAAAAAACAACTCTCTAAGAATACGTGATCGTAAAAAATAACCCCTGACTTGAGTAGAAACTATAATAAACTCGCTCGAACTTTCCCAAGTATCTTTGTGCGTTGTTTTACAATTCAAATTCTCATTCGACGACGCCGAGCAAGAATGACAAAAATGTTCTGAGGAGGACGATTTCCGCTTGCACGAACTTGCCGTGTTTTACTTATATTTCAACTCCACTGAAAGCACTTCGCCTGTTCAAAGTAGATAAAAAATTGCTTCGTTTAAAGTTGAACCTCGATAGTTAAAAGATGTCGTTGAGTAGTCTAGTTCGGCGTTGCTAAAACACCCTCATTCGTCTTCCGTCAACGGAGGTCGTTAAGCTGATGTTGTCGATGACGTATCTTAGTTGCTTTATTTGTTCACGTTTATCATGTGACATAAATTACATCAAAAGACTTTAATGATCTTCGATATATTTCGCGAGACAAAAATTAGGCAATTTATAAAAAGTTTTTATTAATTTTTTTTATTCGTGGGCAATGGTAATTCTAAGGAATATGTCGGGTAATCTTATAAATTTATTAAAGATGGCTCAATTCGCTGCTTTTATTTAATTCTATTTACATGCAACCATCGCCAGCAAAAATTGAGATTTCGTCGGCAAAGAATTGCACTTTAGCGTTTGAGACGCACTGCTCGAGTCCTAAATATAACAAGACGCCATTAATCTCAATCTAATCATTCTTTTCCAAGACGTAGTAACCTTTCTTTGATCTCAACTCAGTAGTTTCAACAAGATTTTTTCCATTTCTGTAAAACCCTGCCCTTTCGACAAATAGTTTATAATTATTCGAAAGTCTTGGGAGAGGTGACGAAAACAAATGCATAAAAAAAGAAAATACCAATCACTCCGGGAATTTTTCCACTTCAAAAGTGAAAAAAAAAGAAAGACAGAAACAGGCAAACAAATTTCCTAAAGCGATGTCATATGTGACCCTTACAAACGACTTTTCTAAGGGAGAGCATTGTAAATGGACAGTGAACGCGTTTTATATAAAAATATTTCCAATAATACTTTTTCGGTTATATGTGAAGAAGAGGCTGCGTTCCTCGAACTTTCCTTAAAGATTTTTTCATTTTATTCATTCCGTTTGCAATAAGACGCGGCAGACGTCCCATCAACATGTTTACAAAAGCATGCGTACATGGCCAAATCCTGCTTCCCCGCGGGAGATAATTTCCCTTACTGCATTACGTGTATTTTCCGATCAAAGAAATGAGGGTGGTAGCGCCATGATAGGCTTGTCTTGACGCATGTTTTTCCCCTTGTTTTCACAATGTTCTTTGTTGTAGCGTAAAGGCGGCTGCATTGTGTCTTGTGTTTCTTTATTCTACACATGGCGTGATTTCCAGGGACAGAGAATGCAGCAGACGACACCCAAACGTGCCCCTGTCGTCTGGGTAGAAACCACAACTGTCGTCTGCTCAGAAACACCATCACAAAACTCCGGGTCGGGGACCATTTTGTCGTACTTCAAAGCTTTCTCGCAAACGACACGAATCAATGGTGTTCAAGTCCTGCGTGTGCGGCATGTGTCTTATATCTTCAACATTTGCCTCCCAGACCGCTGTTCGCTTGAGAGAGAGAGAGAGAGAGAGAGAGAGAGAGAGAGAGAGAGAGGAGAGAAGAGAAGAGAAGGGGGGGGGTCGTCGAGAAAGAATTAAGTAGAGAGACAAAGGGAAAACACATTAAACTATTACACAAAGCGAAATTAATCCATTTCATAATGTCAACTGACATACTTGAGCACCAACTTGTGCGACATCTCAGCCATCTAACAAGAATATAATTTCTTTTACGACTTCGAGGAAGAAGCCGACATTTCATATACGGTTCACTCAGATCCAATGGCTGATAGGCTATTTCGTTTAATATCATTGACCGTTTAGAATCACATCCCATGAATAAAATAAGTTAAGCAATTAGAGTGTCACATAGATAATGTGAGTCATCAGTTAGTTCTATTCTGGGGCAAACTAAATCTCTCTCTCTCTCTCTCTCTCTCTCTCTGTCAAACTGTAGGGATGGGGGAGGGAGAAAGGGTGTCTCTTTACTTACGGTCATTTCTGCAGACTTTACAACAGCTCTTTGGCGGAAGCCATTGGTCACTGCAGGTCAGCTTCGGACACTTGTTCTTGATGTTGTTGCAATGGACTCGGCCTTTTCGTTGCAAAACCCCCTTTTTCATTACCTGAAACAACGATAATTTCCGACATATTTAGCACAAAGATGATTTCCAACATATTTAGGAAATTAAAAAAACAACTATGAGAGTTTTATTTTTCTGGAATACAATATGATTAAAATACAGATATTCGTAAGCTAAATAGCGGCTTTTGCTTCACAGTAGCATTAACCAATTTAACCAAACAAAAAATCTCACTGATTTGTGTACATTAGTTGCCGCATAATTATTATACTATATAACATGAGTTCTATGCCACTAATTTTGTTTCATGAGTGAAATGATGATGTTAATAATGTTAATCATCATCATAGTAATAAGAAGAACAAGAACAAGAAGAACAGTAATAAAAACAATAATAATCACTGCAAAGGTGTTTTACCTTACACCCCCATCCCACTTGCAATACAACTTTCGATACTGCGGTGTACAGTTTAATCTGTTATTTAATATTCATATTTATTGATAACATTCATCACTTTATGTAATTATTTTAGATTAATCCTTATCTAGGTCTTTCACCTGCCATTTTAAGGTATTCAACGCAAGAACTTGACGTCTTAATAAAAGAGCAGTCAGCGTCCGACGTGAGAAAGGCCCGAGCAAGGAGGAAATCCTTAGCATTCACCTCCGAACACGCGCAGGCAGGATGCGGCTTTTATTGTCCTTCGATTGATTGATAAATAAATGTGAAATTAATGACCTCGAAAAACAATCTCGCAGCTTAAAGGGCGTTGTCGTCCGCCCCGTTGAAAGGGGCTTAGAGGCATTTTCCTGAACGATTATTACCACCTATGAAGTTAAGCCCTATCTCATAAATTCCGTTCTTTTCAGCGACGCTTCGTTCACCCCATGTTGCTGTCAACTAGTATTTAACTTAGGCTTAACACTTTGCTCGTTCATTGCGTCCGCTACGTGACTTTCCAATAGGTTTGGTCACTAGCTACTGTAACAACAAGCCCTACCGCTTTTATAAAGAAGATAAGGGGAAACGCAATTTACGCCCTCGCTCGCTCTCTTTGCCATTCACGAAATACTGTCGTCTGCCGCACGTGCCAATAAATGTCGTCTGCTTGACTATGACGTCATGCGAGAGAGCACAAGATTCGTACCAAAGGTTGGAGATAATTATTGTAAAACAATGCGATTATTGTGTAACAATAAAAGCAGCCGCATCCCTCGGCAACAAGATCTTGTAAATATTTTCATAACATCATGGCTTATAGCAACAAATTAATAAAATAGGTTCTTGGAAAAAAAACTTGATTTCCTCTGATAAGATTGAAACAACGTTATTTCAAGTCAACTCCTGCAGAGACCCCATATCTAATCAGGCAGAAGCTTTATTTCTTAGAAACGATTAACTTGAATTACTGCTTTCGACGCAGAGAAATAACATATCAAAATCGTTTTTAAAGTTGTCTATTTACTACAAATAAAACTCTTGTTTAAACCGTGGATCTCTAACGCTTAATGTCTGATATTAAATCAAAACTCCATGCCCCCCACCCTTAATCGAAATGTGAAACGCGGCAAAAGGGGTGTTAATTCTGGCCTCGTCTCTTCAACGCGTTCCCTTCATATTTCAGCTAACATTTATGAGGCCTTGAGATAGGCTAACTTGTCTAAGCGCTGTGATGGCCGCTTATTTGCCATAACTCATACACCGGCGTTCTTAATTTAACAGTCATAAAGAACACAGGCTACTCAAACGATGAATCCAAAACGGTTTATTCTAATTTGAGTTTCACGAGGTTGCACCCGTATCCGTTTCGTCTAACCTGGTTCTCAAGCTGAATACAGGAAGGAGAGTTTTACACTGTACCCGCCCATTATAACTCTGGGGAGAGCTATCTTTAATACTACAGATATAGAGAGGCATTTTTTGCTCTTTTTAATAATTACACGAAAACTTTTGTGGCGAAGAGAGTCACCGGTATACTCGCCACGGAGAAAGTTAAGATTATCATGCGATAAGGTTAATAAATTATAATAACGTAATGAAAATTAACTGAAAAGAAAGATGTAATTATTAAAGGGGGGGGGGCTTGTATTTGCTCACAAATGCTGTTTATGTGTTAGTGTGTGTGGTTGGGGGGGGAGGAGGAGGGTACGGGGTACGGTATTCATCCCAGCATGACCAAGGTATTTTATTACAATCCAAGCAAATACGTCTTGACCTTCGTCTAAAAAGATCTCAGTTAAAACGCTGCCGGATGCCACCCATGCCCGTTTTACTTTTTTTATTTCCAAACTTCACCATTCAAAATATCTGTCAGAAACTGCGCTATATTTATATGTGTCCAGACAACGGGAAAGACGTTTTGAACTGGCTGGATTTAGAAACCACTTCCGAAGGGAATACATCATCTTATTTGCGTACCTTTCATCGACGGTTTGACTCACTTTGAACGGGTGCTTAGCACTAAAACTAATTTGGCTTCTTTGATTTGTCTTAAAGTGCAACCTGAGTGCACTTTCGTCTAATAATTGAATACTACTATTATTTTTCACAAAAGTTTCAGTTTTGTTATCATTTTTCTGTTGTAACTGTTTTCTATCAGTAACCGACTAAATATGATATATAACGTTGGAATTTGTTTTCTTTTCCCAAGTTATATAAAATATTATAACTGAGGTCGAATGAGGTAAAAAAAAAAGAAGCGAACCCCCGTGGTCTTTCACTGCACGTGCGAATCTCTAAAAACAATAACAACGTTTGCCAAAAGAAACCCAAACAAATTTTCTTCTTGCCTGCCAAAGGTAAACAAAACTAGATTATTATATTTGTCTCACAATTTCGCAAGAAAAGAAGAGGAAATGTTGTTTCTGTAAATTCTTTTTTCTGTTTTTTTTAACCAAACTTATATACAAGCCAGAGGTATTGCGGATAGAACTGAACACGGAGGAGACAAGTTGTTTACTATTTGTGATTGGGCAAAATGATAAAAATACATCCAAACACTAGACTCAAACTTTTTCTAGACGTGTTATTTCTTTCGTGAGCTAACTCAAAGCATATTTGGCAGCCTTGGGAAATAATGATGTTGTCAAATCTAGAAAACACGAAAAAGAAAAAAAACAGTACCGCCCAGCGCTGAAATCTAATGGAAAAACAAATTCCAAGTCAAATAGCTCTGTATGATTCAAGGAGTACAACCAAACGCGAACTATTTAGCTCCAGTATTGGGCTGTTTCTCAGTGGACGCCAGAAAGTTAACATGAGGATATGAGGGGAAAAAACTCTCTGCAAGCCAGTGATAATCACACCCAAAGCGATGAGAGTTCCATCTCGTATTACTCTCACTTAAACTGGACGGGCGCACTGAATGAAACCAATCAACAAGCGACCTAAGATGGCAATAACAGCTGAAGGGGAGCGTAAACTATTAAGTTGTCGTCAATCATCAGCTCTCTAATAACCGGAAAATCTATCATCAAACAAACGTCTATCTATCATCACTTACTAATAATCACGTTATTTTCCCCTATTCCTTAATCATTCGGTTAAAGACACACTGTGAATTTCACATTCTGAAATTTGCAGAAGGGGGGGGGGGGGGGGAAGGCGGTTACAGTGAAACTGTAGTCATCTTAAAAATATGACTTTGTCTGTTCTTTTCTTTATGCGACATTTATATGAAACAATTGAACTCATATTGCAGTTACACAGTAGTTTAGATTGCATGTGATTGTAAAAACATTTATGTTCAATTTTTCATGAAATATTATTATTATTATTATTATTATTACTGAATATGCCAGAAACCTTTTCGCCAATGAAAACAACAATATCAATGTTTTCGCTGGTTTTTCAGCGTTCTCATGTCATTACATATATATCTCACTTATTGAAATATTAAACTGAAATAAAATTTCTCTTTCCCCTTATTCTCTTCACCAGATATTAATATAAAACAGCCCTGTTTTGCGTTCATTAATACAAGACACTTCAAAGAAGTGTTCCAAAGAACAACCGCACTTTTTGGCAGACGACAATCATCAAGCGGAACCCCAAGGGTGATGACGTCATGTGGAATCGCCGCACTCCAGTTAGTCCTGATTAAGAAAAACGCGTCCTTTGCAAACACGAAAAAATTGTACATATAACTCACAACCAAGCTCTCTCGTTCCTTATCGCGTTGAAACGATCAACACTTATTTGAAATGACGTCAGCTCTTTTCGGCGTCGAGCGCCCATCTTTCTCTCTTGCTCCCGTCGTTCTTCAGCGTCAGGGTTATCCCCCGAAATGTCAGATACATGTTACTTCACCGCGGAGAAATGGATTTTACAACTAATCTATCGCGATCGACCTTTACAGGGATACCGACATTATGTTACTATTAAGACGATGTATCTGAGAGTCGGTCCGCTCAGCGAGCGTTTCTCTCATGCCGGCTGATTACACGTGGGGCTGCCGAAAATACCCCTCATCCAATCTTGCAGCAGTGTTTTAATGTTTCGCGAAATTGCGATTCAAGATGAAGCTTGTCTTACAGGCTGAACATTTCCCGTTTCATCAAAAAAATATTTCTTGCAGAATTGCATTTCAGTATGGAGGCTGCCCTAACGCATGAGACATTTTCCGTTCCCGTTATGTTTTCAATCTGTCTGGAAGCTTCAGATTCGAGGTCGTCTATGTTTCTCATAAAATGCTGACATAAAGATCCAATTATAAACGCATTTGCCTAAAATATATAGCCATAACCGCGCAGACACAGAAGAGCTGACGCGATACTATAAACACGTCCCTTTTATGACAATAACTGTCCATAAAAAGGCTTGTATAATTTTAACATCGGCAAATAATTTCCCTCTTTTTAATGTACGATAATGCGTTTTTATTTGACATTCGTTGTATGCCCCACGATTTATTGGACTAGAGCTCTCCGAATATGTTGTCATGGGCTATTAAGTTTTCATGTCAGAAGCCTTTGGTGCATTGATCCAAGATGCCGGAAGAGTACAGATAAGTATACTGATGAATGTGCTTGTGTTTTTGCTGGTGTTCTTGTTGTTTTCCCCTAGTACCCACCCCATATTGCCCCCCCCCCCCCATCCTAACCCCACCCTGACCATAGTGACTAAGAATAAACGATGTCATTCCATTTAAATTCAGGATACTTATGATAAAAATAATGACTTTGTAAACCTTTACTGCTGACTGTCAAGGACCGCATTCAAACCAAGGCAATTTTAGACCGGCGATCGATCCAAACTCGCCATTAGGCATCAAAATTACCCAGGGATTCCAGTTCGTCTGAATTAACAGCTCAATCACCAAATGACGCAAGTTTGCCTGATCTTCGGTCATGATTTTTCCCAGTTTAAACAGAACGCGTGTTACTTACCGGCGCGCACGTGCACTGTACGCAGTACATGGGTCCAACGGGCTCCATGCTGGGGTTCCATCTGGCCTCTATCTCATGAAATACATTGCCAAGTCGACAGCCTGAAAACGAGATTAAAAACGGAGAATAAGAAGAGTTGTCAGTATATGCTGATTTAAAAAGATAACACCTGCAATGACGAATTATTAATACAAACGTTGTTATGAACATCCTCATTTTTGTTTTAACTAAAATCCAAACAGGGATTATCGATAATAAATAAATAAATAAATAAATAAATAAATAAATAAATAAATGAACAAATGAATAAATAAATAAATAAATAAATAACAACGAACCGGCCTTGAAAAAAAGGGCAAACAGATAAACACAAAAAAGTCTCTTCATGCTGAGTGTTTTCCCAAAAAGGAAACACGCCCAGTCAGCACATGTTATGTTTCATTATAAGTTGGCCTTTGTTGATGATAACGACACAGAGAAGAAAACATTAGCCGGGAGGAAGAACTGGATTGCAGTTCAATATTTTTATATCATGAAAGAAAATGCGGTTGAAAGAAGAGCATATCTTTCTGGGACTTGTTGATGTTCTGACTGTATCACAACAATATCTTGTTCGCAAGGAATACCAATAGCTCTATTACCCACCAAGATTAATCTACAGCAATATCATTTTCTGTTGCAAAACTTCCCAAGCGTATAAATATAATAAAGAATCCTCCTACAGAAACATTAATACAACTTCGCATCATGAATCAATATTTCATTGAAACGACGCCCCCTACCCACGCACTCAGTTCTCTTATTTCTAGCTGATTATCAAAAGGGTTTTTTTGTTCGATTCTTTACGAACCTTGACGGGTGCATTATGAGTTGCTAGATGTGATAAAATAACGGGCGCATATTTTTTGCTATAACTGTTTGTAGATTTCGACGATTGATCTGATATTATATTGTCATGACTAACAAAACTGACTTCAATACTGAGAAGCTTTAATTACCCATACGTCTTTGACATGGAACATGTTGCTTAAAAGGTCTTAATCAGCCTTTTTTTCCTCATTGTAACTATGACGGTGCATTATTTAGAACTGATAAACATCATTTAATTTTCGTTGTTATTATGATAAGGATTTTCTATATTCAACTTTATTTCATTGTCAGAAATATTTAGCAGTATTTTAGACTCACAACAGACAAGATTCTTGCGTAAACAGAAATAAACTTTTCCTGGTAATTTAAATGTATTATAAACTGTCCGAGACGTGGTTTTAACCCACGGCGACATACTGAAGACGGAATGTTCATTTTTATTTTCGACTTTCTAAATGGACAACCCATTGTCGTCCATCTGTTGTTAAATCTGGACAAGCGTCCGGTCAAGCGGTCAAGACGGCACAGATGACCATGGCAGCTTGTAGCAAGACGCTATCTCTTTTACCATCGATCGGACTTCTCGGGGGTAAACAATGAACCAGATACTGCGAAAAACACACGAGGGAAGACAACAAAAAGGCGATGAGGAAATTGCCATCTATTTAAAAAGGACTCAAGCGTTCGCGGAAATCGTCAGCTAATAGATTCTTCAAATTCAATAAGCTTAGGGAAACAGTAGCACTGGAAGTGTGAAAAACATAGAACGCGAAGAAAGGCGCACAAAGACGAGGAGGTGTTTTAAACACAATCAGTTGAGGAAGTCGGTGACTAACTACGTCCACTTCCCCCCTTCTGTTTCTCTCCCCCCCTCCCCCTCACTGCGTTCTTTTCAGATGGGTCGGGCAAGTTTCTGCCTTTGTCCCAAAGTGACATAATGCGCCTGTTTTTGTTTTATTTCCATTACAAGAATCACTTTCCTCGCCATTGTTCGCTCGCCCCACAGGTGTCGGCTGCGGTTGCCACAGGTGTGGAAACGCTGGCAAAACACTTAAACGCCGACACATACCCTAAATATTTGGAACAAACTCAAATACCTTTAATCACAGGTATTTGTGACCAAGCTGTGGGATCCCCCTTCTTCTGCGTCCCCCCTCTCTCTTTCTCTCTCACTTTCTCTCTATCTCTTCAACCTTGAGGCTAGTTGCTCAACCGCCACATTGCAAACATACCAATCTATTTGTTCAAAACCGCATTTTTATCACCAGCTAATTAAATAGCATAACCACAAATGAAATGCTGAGATTTTTCCCCATTCCTTGTTTACATAGAATTAAAGAACTGGAGTGCTTGTCAGGTTTAATACTGACACGATTCTAAGAAGATGCGGTTGATATTAAGTTGTTTGCCCTCAGTTGGCCAAAATTGTTTAACTGACCCAGAGTGGACAGTCATTTAACAAGCAATGACCACTAATAATGATGCTCGGTATGAACATTAGCAACAATAACAAGGCCCCGTGGGCGATTATTTAGAAAATCCATGGGGTAATGATATTTACTCGATACAGGATCATTGCCCCTTTTTTTGCTCTTTTCACTGTCAAGTTTGATGCAGACCAATTACATAAAGACCCGAGCGTGTTTATTGCAACAACTTCCGAACTTAAGTTTTAACAGTTTAATTTTAAATCTGCCACGGCTTTGTATAATTGTAAGTCTCAGCTTGAGAGCATGTTTTTCTTCTTTTTTTTGTCGAAAGGAGGGGGTTCGGATAAATATTCATCCTTTCCATTCTTATTGTGCTATATAGCCGGCGTGCATAGGAAAGTGTGCATCAAATGCACACACGTTCTTACAAAGATAAGTCTGGGGGGGTAAAACACGGGGTAAAACACTCTTATATAATAAACCACCAATTAGATATATCTTATATTTATATTCTGCTGGGTTAAAAAATCGGAAACATATTTGGTCTCCTTGTCTGACGTAACCCTAGCCATCTTGCAGTAAATCGGTGCATTCTTTCGCGTCTTAAAACAGTTGTTCTGATGTGGTGTAATCAGATTAGGCGGTTGATAAGTCCGTTAACATCGCTGCCCTTACAACCCCCCTCCTCTCTCTGTCTGGACACCCTGAAGGCCACGCTTAGCTAATGTTAACTCCCATTAACGTGCCTAGGGGCGCGCCCCTTCGTACAACCTTGACGTGCGGGGTGAATGAATCATTTTGATAAATCCTGACACCAGATTTCTTACCATTATTATTGTCATTAACATCATTTATTTGATATGTCTTTGTGGCGAATTCAAGACGAGTTGACTTCCCAAGTTTGGCATTGTGATTTCGAGTTTAAGGTCGATTAAAAGTGGCAAGCAACTTTTGTTGCCCAGATCTAGATTTTGGTGAGGAGAGAGAGAAGGCCCTGTTACTCTTCACTTTCACTGCTAACAGCTTCACTCTCAGAACATGTATTTCCGTCCTTCCCTCCTTCAAAGCCTTAACCTCTGTAATAATCAGGATCTTTAAGGCAAGAAATGCAGACCATCAATGCACCAGTTTCTTTTCATTCGCAACTTACATTTTCACTCCATTATGACAACCCCGCTTCCCTACTACACTAACAATGATTCTTCGCCATTAAACCAGCGGTATTGCTGTTTTTGTAGACGTACGACTAGGGTCGTTACCATTACACTACATTATCAGACGAAAGTTAGCGTCAGTAACCATTACTTCTACTACATTTAACCGGAGTGTAGAGCAAAAGGGGTTTGGTAACCAGTTCACGGCGTTCCAGCTACATAAGAGCGATCAGACGCTGCGGCGATAGAAGCAACAGAACGGATTTCGCGTTCGAACTTCATAACCGCTCCTATAACTTCAAATATGAAGGGTGTAGATTACGTCTTGCCGTGTCGTTATAACACCCCCCGGCGCTTACTGTACACGGCGCAATACTAATGAATGAGTTTGTCCTTACAGAGACACATTCAATGTATTCAATGTGTACGTTGGCAACAAAGCTGCACAAAAACCGAGTGCAGATTATGAAATACTAGGTAACCAGTTTGAATGGGGGTATTAGAGCCGTATTAAGCATAGAACACTGCTTGGACGAGGGAGGGGGGACGCGACACTGACTAAATTACTTAATGGTAATCCTACAACACCACTCAAGTCTCTGTACGTAACATTAACACACAGCGAGGAGGGGTATTCGTATCAATCCCCCGTTGTTTTTAAATATGGATACATATTAAGGGGAGGTGAGAAAAAGAAACGTAGAATGATACACAAAATGAACGCCCAACAGCTGAAACTACGACAGGAGGCGACTTTTAATCCCGAGTAATCTATCCCTAACTCTTGTTTAATCAGCCTATCACTTAATCACTTTACTGGCAATAACCCGCGTAAAATATTTGATCGTTTAATCAAATTGAGATGGGCTAATTAGCAGGGGAATTACCAAGCGTCTCAAGGGGGAACGCTAGGGACCCGTGATGTAACGGTGGATCGGAGGGATTAGAGAAGTTAACTTGTTAAGGATGAGGTACGAGGTCTCCCATAGACAGTACGGCGCCCGCACGCGGCCTGCACCTGTACGGGAACGACGAGATGCCTGAGAAAACGAAAGCCAGCGTGATTGAATAATTTGTTCGTTTTCTTTAAATTACCGGGGATGTTTCGTGAAACGCTGAGTGCATTTTTGACTTCAGGGCCCCTACTTTTTTACTTTCGGTGGCATTCTGTTTTGTCTTAGTTCTTAGGATTAAAAATACAATAATTTCGTTAACTTACCAGGGATTTTAGAGTCCATTTCTGTCGCTTTATCGGAATGTAACGGTAGTCGCCCCGTGACGCTCACGACAGCTTGGATGCACACAGCTGCTAACAGTAACATTTTCCTCTGTTCCGTCTGCTTGAAGATACCTAGATACCTCAACGAGGAAAGTCCACGGTAATCCTCTCGTCTTCCCTCCGCAAAATAAAGTCTAAGATGCAAACTCCTTAATTTCCAGTCCAAATGAGTGTCAAATTCTGCTCACAAAGATCCGAGGAAAGGAGCGGGCCTAAACCGCTGCAAACCGCTGCCGTGAGTCAGGCAGTCGTTGCAGACAGACTCGCTGTAAAGCACGCTAAACTGCGCTTGAGACGAGCCGCATGCCGCTCGACGTTAATTGTTCAAATTTCAAAGCTATCACACGGTGTAGGTCTTGTATACGTCTTAACAAACGCTCGTGTCCACACTTAATGCGTCTGCCCACCACCGGTCAGAAGAACTGGTCCTAACCGTCCACTATAAATAGAAGTAAAAAGAATATGAATCAATGTGCCCGTGTGTAATCAGTCGCCGTGATAATCTAACTGTGCACTGGTAAACTTCAGAAGAGCGTTCGTCGGAGAAGTGCACTGCCGCGAATATTGTACAACCTCCTTCTGCGGATCCCAGCGAATGTTTGTTACCTCACAGTAGCAGTCTAGTCAACTGTCCGTCTATCTGTCATTCGCTCACAGTTAACTACATATGATTCGTGGGGGCTGCACGAGGAGCGGTCACGTGACCCGAGTGGCCGGTGATTAAGGGGTGTCTGTATTAACCCATTCAGGGCTTCCGGCGATGTGAAAGAGAAAGGGATGCTCAGTGAAGCGTGAGCTGCCTGGTAACACACCCGCTTTCCCTTTACTCTTCGCTTGGCTTCACCAGTGAAATATCGTGCGCTTTTCTTTTTACATGGCTTCGTGCCCTGAGTGTATGGCTTACATCTGTTGCTTTCAAACCATCAGCTGTTGTTGCTGATCACACGGGTAACGCAGGGTGCACAAAACGAGGATATAGACCTCTGAATTACCAACAGAATTGGAATGTAAATAAAGAAGATGTTCTTATTTTTAACTGCGTGTCAGTAAGAAGGAAGTTTATTTGGTTTTCTGTCAGAAAAAAGAAATTACGTGTAGGTAATGATGCGGATGGTATCCAGATGCTTTTTAGATTAAACAAAATATGGCTAAATAACTGGAAAAGAAAACGTTTCTCTATGTATCTATGTTAATTTGTTAATTTTCTCTTTTTTTCTTTCACACTCTTTCCTCTCCCCCCCTCTCTCTCTCTCTCTCTCTCTCTCTCTCTCTCTCTGGCATTCATGTGACACATATAGCGTAAGACGCACTTAATGATTTTCAGATTAACATCGCTTAAATATGCACGCGCGTTCGAGCAATAAATCAGGTTCTGTCACCCGTTCTAGATAGACCGAATAATGGAATTAATAGACAGAAAAATTGAAATCAACTACCGAATAACCTTGAGAGATGACTCGGTGTCGAGTTGGGTTTTGTTACCACCCGATAAAGTGTAATGGATCTGGGGGTCAGAAGACGCTGCCTGAGGCACTAAGCTCGTAACGTGCAATGATTCCGTATGCTATTATTAAATTGGTTTGTACTAGGACCTATTATGCCCGTGTCAGTCAAATCTTGACTCAGACATAAAGAGTCAAGCAACGTTGCGAGTGGCAGTAACGCTAGGTTATCGGTTAAAGTGATATAGAAATATTGCACCCCCCCCTTCCTCCATTCCTATATCGGGCCCATTTCCCATAGAAAATGTCAATGCAGTAAAATTCGCATAAACCGTCACAACATAATTTGAATTATTTGTAATCTCGAACAAATCTAACGAAACGAATTCGCGATGCTACTGATTACGCACATATAAACATATGGAAATATATCACATTTCTATCGTGCCCTTTTCGTTTGGTAACAAGACTTCATTAAGTCGAAAGACAAAAAAGAAATCCAGTCTCGATTTTTTCAGGCATACCCACGCACGCGTTCGACCCCGCAGACAGGCCCGATAGCGTCTTTTGCAATCATAACCGCTGAGATTATTACGCATTTTTTTACAGCATTAAATACCCGAAGTCAAAGGTCCGTCCCGACTGAGCCTTATAACATTTGCACTTTATTAACTAAAATTTCGTTTGGTAGCTTTCAAGATCAGGGGTCTGAGAACTCCATGCTCGAGCAAGACAGAAGGTTTAAGTGCTTAGAACGAGAGGGAAGTTAAAGGATGTTTTTACAGTCCCGTGGTGCGGTTATTGAGAGAACAAGGCTTGTAACAGTGTTATTTTGGTTTCTGGGTTGGCCCTTTCTCCGCGGTGATGCGGACTTTCGTCTCATTGTGGATGTACTATATGTGAGATATTAACTATTAAATATTATTCCTAGATACTGTACATACAAGTACGCCTACGTACAGTCACATTAATGCGTACATCTACATGTCCATGTACTGGTAGATATTTGTCATATCCAAGGTTTCAACAATATATTTTGATATCTACACAGAAACGTCAAAGACATTCAACCACAGAATGTAATTAAGTGCAATGCTTCTTTTTATTGGTATGTAATGTGAAAAAAAGAATTTTCAAAAAAAAAAAAAAAAAAAATCATAAGTATATGTTGGTGGGAATTATTTATATACATAAGTAAAATTGTGAAGTTGTAGACACATGTAATGCAGTTGCACCGTAATAATATATTATCGTTATAACATTATCGATTTTTAGATTTTTCCAAAAAATCCAATGCACTCAAAATTACCTACCTTACACTACACTTTTGAAAACCGTTATAGACGTACCATACCCTAGCCAAACCCTGTGAAATCTTAACAAAAACTATTACGATCTTCTCAACACACGTGTCAAATATACTGTTTATTGAAGAATATAAGATACCATACATCTCCACGTGGGTTATACAAGGACATTTATAGGCTGCCACAGAATTATATCAGGGACATAATTTCTCATTAATCGAATATTGTAAGTGATTCCATTCCCCCTCCCCCTTTTTGGGCTGCAGTGTTTCCTCGCCCTCTCGGACAAAAATCTGGCGATTGAGGGGACGGTCGTATCGCGTATCGCCGGTTGCGCGGTATGTTAATGTTTATGAAGCGTTAAAATGGTCACATTTTCTCCTCTGTCCGAGTAAGCAAACAAATAACAGGAGCACGTATCGAACCCAAACGTTGAGGAATGCGCAGACAATGCGAGCTAGTGAGAGCCGGGAAGAACGTGTTTATATTTTTATTACTTTATTATTACAGTGGTCGAGACCGCAGCACGCGCTTGTTCAACCAGTCACTGATGCAAACGTTCAAAGACGGGTTCAGTTCCGGCTCAACAAAGGAAGAATCCGTTCGAGTCGTTGGAGGAACAAGACGCTTGATTGCAATTTACTTTGTATCAGCCGTCAATAAATCACCCCGTCACTTATAACGATGACCGCCAGGTTGACTTGGTCATTGGCGAAGGATTGTAAGCAAACGGCAGTCTGCTGAAATTTGGACTAAAACGAGTTTTGTTTTAACGGGCACGAACGCGGCACCGGTAGTTAACTCTTACTGAGCAGAAGGTTAAATTTGGACTCGAGCGATCATAGGTCTTGCTAAAAGGGTACAAGCCTCCCGTGTGAGGTGCCCCAAGTTAAATAATGACCTTTACGTTGACCAATGGTCACTCACCTTTTATTCAACTCAGATTCTTTTATGTAATACGGACACCATGGAAAAATCTCAAAAGATTGCAGTAATAATAACGTACCGTACTTGGGCCACCATTAGAGTCGAGGCCATGTCAAAGAAATACGATTAGAATTAAGTTTGCATCGTGTTGTATTTTTGTTGTTCTCATGTATATTATACATCACTTGTGGGCGTGAATACCAAATAAAAAACTTCTTATTGTTACAATTTTATAATTTCTCCAGCCTATCCCAATGACTGCAGTGAGATCCAGAATCTCGAAGACGTTTATGCTTTTATCAAAATCTACCCTGCTTCTCTGCATATGGCGGTTAGATGGTGAACGTTTTAGAATTACGCCAATATTGCAAGTCTGCGGGTATACTCATAACACCGACCAAAAGTTTATAATTCATCATTTCTTAATATAAATTGTGATGTTTTATTCATTTACGGTTTTCTATGAATAGTAACCGTACCTTACAGTGACAGGCACTTCTTTGTGAGCAGAAATAAGCTACGTCTTATTTCGGTTGCTTCCTTCAAAACGTATTTCCTTAAGCTTAATTCTTGTTTGTAGAGTGTAGGGATACAAACACGCTACAATCTTTAATGTTTAAATAATTATTAATCCTTAGAAGTATGACCAGTTATTGGACCTTTAAAGATTATGCTAGAAAGAAAGAGCAGTTAAAGATGAGGTAGTCAGCTTGGACATCTAGAAAAACCGAGTACTCTGACCACCAAAGCCTCATTAAGGGTCTTAACAAGGGGCGTGTCCAAGACTCATCTTTGGACACCCTCAACGCGGGCAGTCTTTGTCCGAGGTAACGAGGATGACCGCCAGGTACGATGGAAAGCTCAGATAGGACGAGATACAGGTGTGAAAAGCTCATACGTTAACACAGGTTTTCTCACGTTAGCGGGGGGTCACGTAACTGATACCTGGCCGATTGCAGCGAGGTTACGTCATAATTACCCGCTTTAAGGGCGGAGAAAGAATGCGAAGTAAATTAAACTTTGTGGCTATTTTGACAGTTTGTGTGGAGAATGTAGCGCCTTCGGTGGTGGAGTTAATTGATGGCTGTGTAAGAATTCCCCTCGGGCAGGTGATTAAAAAGAGAAAGAGAGAGACAGACTTATGTTAAACTCTTTCTGTCCACTATACATTGCGATCTTTGTTGTTTATAAAGGGTGCTGAAGTCGCATTCACTTGACAGTGAAAAAAAAAAAAAAAGATAGCAAGCAAAATTGTAATCCCAAATGACATTTCTTTTCTGATTTGTTGGTTGCACTAGCCTTACTTATCAGATTTTTACATCTTTGAACTTTTTTACTTGGTAAAAACGTTGTTTTCAGTGTACCACTCGGAGATGTTAAATCGATTGTAAATTCCCCCATTCTCTCGCTTTCATTCTCTCTCTTTCTCTCTTTCTCTCTAACACTTTCTCTTTTTCGTTAAGTTCAATCATGTACAGAAAGAAACAGGACAAAAACATCTCTCTCCCCTCACTCTCTCGTCTAGGCCTATATTGTAGCATACAATAAATTAGTGAACCACACCAAGGGCTACTCTCTGACCACCCACAGGGTGCGCTTGTCGTCTGCTGCAAAATTTTTGTATCGCTCATTCTTTAATTTGGAATATTTTCTCAGAAACCCCTGGTATAAGAGGGTAATCAAGTACCCTTTACCAAGGTGGCAGACATTATAGGCAAATTTTCAAAAAGCAGAGTACCTAATGATTGCCTTTTATTCTAAAGACATATATGTATATGTGAATATCTTGCGAAAAATCAAACTGTCGCCCTGGTAGAGGCTAGCAATCAAGGATAATTTCTAAGCATTTTACTCTTGACCTTAGGTCTTTTGCAGTGTTGTCAGCCAAGACACGGGCAGTCAGACTAATAAACTTCCAATTACGCCCCTCCTCCTCCTCCCCCCCCGACCTATCACAAGATTATCTGATTGAGCAATAACATATCTTCGTCGCCATCTTTGCGAAGTGATTGATAAATAATTTGAAGTAACACCCCCGCACTGCTGAAATAACATCCCTGTCAGATAGAGCGGTCTTCCATCTTGATTGTAATTAGCGGCTAGCCTTGTTATGTAAATGTTAAACATGTTTTGTATTATTCCAAAATTCATTAGCTTAATCGATCTCAAAGATAGGAAAGCGGAAGCAATTTTTTCTCGCTTTAGGAAACGCTGATGAACGTCCCCAAATAACAGCTAAGTGCTAAGTGCTTTAATTTCTGCAGGATTTCTGGTTACTTCCAAGCAAGTAAATGTTAACAATCGAGGAACGCACTTGCAGAGATAAGATAAAAGTTATCTTATTCAAAACGCAGTTTTCCTTGTTTCTGCTTAAACTGCTGTACTTTCATGATTTGAATTACAAAGTTTCCACAGCTACAATATTACTGACTATTTGTATTTGTAAAGCAAACAATGGCACGTCTTGTAAGTGACTTATACGTCCATGCGCCGCGTATTAACGAATGCCTAAGGCTTAACAATAAATAAACTTCCACCACTGCATTGCCATTTTAGACTCCTTCCATGTTTGTTCAAGCAAATGATATCTTTCCGGTAAATTGCGATCACTGATGCATAATATGTTGATAAAGTTACATTCTTCTTAAGTGCAAAATTTTTAATGAGATCTTAAGAAGTAATATTGTTTATATTTTGAATTAATTGTCTTATCTGTTATTGATCTGATTTGTTTTAGGTTATTTAAAAGGATTACCCAATGGATGGCAAATGTATAAATCTTGAATTGTTTTGAAAATATTGAAGTATGTTAATCATTTGTTGTAAAAATAGATAACAAGAATGTTCATACGAAAAACCATAGGTATTTTTTTAAATGCACACTGCGCAGATAAACGTCAAATTAAAGATTTTGACGAAATGAATAGTATATTTATTTATAAAAGAAGATCAATATTTGAAAAATGAGTTTTACCGATGACGAATTGTAAAAGGAAATGTTACGACGGCCTTAAACGGGATGACAAATGTACGCAAACACTCAAGTTAAAATAAAAGAAAGTTCGGACCAAACATCTTTTGTTTATTTATTCCAATTTTTAAATCGGCCAAAGACTAACCAAAAATGTCATCTTTATTGTCTTTATTTTATCACCTCACAGTTTGTAGTAGAACTTTGTCTCCTTAGCCAACCTTTTTCTGAAAATTCTTGAAAAAAGAAAAAAAAGAAAAGAAAAGAAAATCGTCTTGAGAGGGCTCTTGAAGTAACCACTCCGTAATGCTCGCTAACGTTAACACATTCATCACCGTTGACTTGTATAAAAACATTAATACGAACCCTGCACGTGTTATACAATAAAACAAACGAAATTCGGCATCCCACACACAAATGTATAGAAATAGAAATACGTACAGACAGAATATTCCTTTCAGTTCGTCTTGCACAACATAAACAGAACGTGAAACTTGCGGGCTCTGTTCAACTCCAACATTGCTTTACCTCCAACAAGATACCACGGCGTATCTTAGCTTGGAATGTTCGTATTGTAATCTTGATTAAATATTTTGAAAACTGGGGGACAAAGCACGAAAACTACTTAAAATACGAAAAATACCGGGTTGCCCACACGTTCGCTTACTGTAGCTTTATTTATCTTTCTTATAATAATCTTCATTCATTCGATGTTATTTTCTACCACTGCGTAATTTCAATAATTTTTTTCTCCATTCCTACTACTTATAAGACCATTGTAATAACGACTGGGCAAATATAATTATTTTCACTTTGAAAAATGGAAAGGAGTAACAAATGTTTCACTCTTTGGTTTTCTTTACCTGACGCACATGTTTGGTTTTAGTTGGTGTTGAGAGAGAGAGAGAGAGAGAGAGAGAGATGGAGAATGAAAGAGGGGAGGGGGTGGAGAGAGAGAAAAACGGAGTCCGAAGTGATTTGGCTGAGAAGGACAACACAACAAAAGAAATCAGAAAAGATAACGATGAAGATGATGGCGAAGATGGTTATCAGGAATCAAAACATCACGTTTCTCAATAGATATCACCACGGAGGGAGGAAGCAAACGGGTTCATCTAATCTGAAGACAAAATAACGGATGTCAATTAAAAACCGATGAACGAAGAAAGATAGGAAAAGTACTTAATAACCCGACGGTCTTAAACAACAGGTTGATGGATGGCGTACCTGACAGCGGCAACATCAAAGGGACAGAGGTAAACGGCGGGCGGGTCCAGTAATTGACCATGTTGGTCCAGTCACTTGGGCAAGTCAGATCGGATGGACAATGATTACGTAACTCGGAGGGTAATTTGCAGTTAAGTTTGATCAAAGAGGTCGACGTGGATGCCTCGAGTATAATTAACGATCTTCGCATTGATTAGAAACCGGGCCATACCTTCGTGGCTTCTTCGGCTGAAACTGCACCATGTGGCCCCAAGATAGGAACAGTTATTGTCCTGTGACTCTTGCCTGCAGAAAAGACAGGACTTAACTGTGAGCCCCTAGATTTCCTAAAGGGTAGGCGGGGGGAGGGGGTGTCCACTGATAGATAGAACAAAATAACAGACAAGGACAATTAAGGTGTGATAAGCACATCGCACACCGATGAAGAAATTCCTTGGTTTTGTCACGTTTCGATTGCTATACTGCATTCCGGTAGCAGGAAGGGAGTATCTCCGAAGCTTGGGGAGGGGGGGAGGCACGTGGTTCCCTGTCCCTCCAAGATCAGATATTGAACCGAAAGAGTAACTGTTCTTATCGTTCTTAAAGACCAAAATTGCTTTTCTCTGGGATTTTTAGCATAAAAAATCTATTTGTTGCGACATTATGAAGCTGCCAAAATTAATGGCCAAAAGTCAGTGTCTTTTATATCATAATGATGAATCGTGAAGTGTTATTGTTGATTGGTGTCGGTATTTCCCATAGGTATTTGACATCTCCTGATGCCCGAAAATCAATTTCGTAACGACTGCCAACATTCACAATGGATTCTCTATGTTTTTTAAATGGAAATGACTTTGCTGCCACTGTCACAATGTAGACTATTCAGATTCTGATCATATTATTTCATTTCTCTAGCAGTCCGTTACATCTGCCAAATGTAACACTGATGTGCCACCATCTTTTAAATCGAAATGCCCTGACAGTGAGCGAATAAATGGTGTAGTGAATTTCCCTTTCTTTTTTTCTTTCTTTCTTTCTTTCTTTCTCAACAAATCGTCTTAATGTGTCTTGAAAAATATATTCTGTGTAAAAAGTTATTTAGTTGAAATACTTATAAGTAACGCTCAGCTGTAAAGCAGTAGGAGTTGTCCGTTATCGTGTATAGTCGGTCTAATAAATTTAAAACTATGCTATTTATATAGCAAATAAGCACTGATAGCACACCTGCTTAAGTTTCGATGATTGTCTTGTCATTAAGGTGGAAATGTATTTAAATTTCAATTGCGGTGTCGAGTGTTTTACTTAAAAATATCAGGTAAGACATGGAGCCTCTTCACACTACTTCATAAATAACCACAGTTTTATTGTTATAGGGGGACTTTAAAGGAAATTTGGTGCAAAAACTACAGCTGCGGAGTTTTCTAGGGGTTCTTTCACCGACTCTTTCTGTAGATATTCAAACTCAGCGAGGTCCTCATAAAATAATAATTTTAAGACCAATTTCACTAGACAGTCTTGTAGAAAAAGTAACGTAGTTCATGAAACTGTTGTATTTTAATAGTGTTTTATTTAAATTATTGATAGAAATATTGTATATAAAAACCATGGTGCAGATGTGGCGAATGTGACAATGTGGCTTTTGGAGCTCATTGAAGTTACATGTATATCAGGACCAGGTGTTTTTAACATATTCAAGAGTAAACAGTACTCCAAAAACAATCATTTTTTAAAATAAAAAAAAAATCTTAAAAGAGACATTCACTTTTAAAATCTGAAATAAACACTAGCTTGTTATGTAAAGGAACTACAATATTTGTTTGAACAAAATTCGTTGTTTTTTCATTTACCTTTAAGTCGCCTTTCAAACCAAAGCGTCTGTCTCTGAGTATGTGTGCGGTGTGTGTATGTGCGCGCGCACGTGTTTGTGTTTGTGAGTGCGTATGTTTGAGTGCGCGTGTGTAGAGCAAGTCATGTTTCCTTCGCAAAAAACATGTATTATACACAAATTTCTATCGGATGTTCGCACAAAATTATTCGCACAAAATTATTAGCCTATTTGATCAAATCATAAATGCTATAAATTCTATTCATTTATGGGTTATATACATGTAGTTTTATGCTAAGATCTAATATACCGTTTATTAGATCTTAGTTTTATGGTAGATTTATTAAAATCATAACGATATCCACAAGGAAATGATAAATCACAGACATATCTAGTTAGATGTTGAGTTGGTGTACCTGCCGGCTGCCACACACTTCGGATTACCATCTTTAATCTCAGATAATACGCAGAACAATCGCTGAAACTGTGACTTTTTTATCGCTAAATATTCTGCCAAATCCACCGCCGACAAGCACCCCGAGTATCGCACGGTGATTGCTGTGTGGCATATATTCCACGTATACGTGATACGTCCTACAGTCAGCCGTGAATTAAGCTGGAAAATCAGGGTACTGGTTCATTTGACACAGTTATCTACGTCTGTCTCCGAAAAGGTGTTAATTTTGTGTTTGGACCACCCGCATTTTAAGAGAGATATCTTCACTTAAGTCCTAGAACGCACGTATTTCTGAATTCCCAGCACATTGACGGCACCAACTACTGTAGTAACTCTACAACGAATCTTACACTGAGTTAAGAGGCCCAAAAGCGTTCGTTTTCGCAGAAGGTTCTGTGCGCGGAAACGGTTAAATCAGATCCCGTTTCTAGTTCGGTCTCTGATCTCACGGACGCCGAAGACAAGGTGAGTGTTTGTTGATTCAGAAAATGTTCCTTTAATTGTCCGGATTGCTATCGGTTCCTTTAATTTCTTGGAATTAATCAAGCCAGGGAAGTTAATGGGCTATTAGCGGTTCAGCAGACGATGAGATGGCTCGCGCTCGAGAGGATGAAGACGCTGTTTTAAGAGTTATGTCGGCGTCCTTGATTTATGCTGTATATGGTCTTCAATACGTGCAAGAGGAAAAATAATATTGTTTTAGGTCTAGATAATGGGGGTCACATCCGCGATTTTTAAATAGGATGTACCCTCCTTTCTATGAGAAAAAATTAGAGCATTATTATCATTATTATTATGTTTACGAGCCCGTATTCAAATTGAGAGATAAACTGGGCTGCCAAATCATTAGATCTTTTTATCGTTTTCAACTATAGGCTATAATTATTATTTTTAAACCAAAATATAGTTTTAGTCATAAATGTATATATTTGATTGAACTGGCACTTGTGTGTTTCTTTAAATTGCGCACTGAGCGGTAGAGATTAATATTACAGCATTTTAAAAATGTCCCGGAAATTTCAACGTTTTCTTGTCAATCAGCAAGTTGTTCCTGATACCAATCTACCAGTGGAGACTGCTGATAAGACCAGTGGCAATGGAGACTGCTGAATTTCACTCGAATTAAGAGCTTTTTAGATTGAAATTTTCTCTTTGTCTTTTGATGGTGTATACATTTATGATAAAGGAAAATTGTTGACCGTATCAAGAATGATTTATTTTAATATAGTTTCATAAAGTTCTAATTTAAAGATTTTCATGGTTAAGAAAAGAACACATCTCTGTATCAAGGTCCATTATTTGTATTCTATGACTATACTTAAGAGTTTAATTCCACCGGCATTGCAGTTGTCATGGTGAGCGCGTTACTATCGTTACAGTTGCCATGGGGATACCACTGGAGTTATTTCTGGACGAGGTCCCGGATGGATGTATTTGTGTTATCTGCCAAGATGTCCTCCAAGACCCCCGGGTTTTACCTCACTGCGACCACGCCTTTTGTGCTGAGTGTTGCGAAACATGGCTGAAAACTAACAGTAAGTCGTCTTCACTCTTTCTTTAATTCTTTTATCGGAAAAATACTTCAAGTATAATACCAATGATAACATGACAATAGCATTACAAGTCAGTTTACAAGCAAACTTTTCTGGAATAGATTGGAAAAAAATCAGTAATTATTATATGTTTGAGATAGGTTGAAAGGGGCCCGGATTATCTAAGCAGTTTGTAGGCCTAAATTTGCATGAAAGAAGTGAACAGTGCTCTCTTGCTCCCTGTTCTTGAGGTGGTTGAAAAGGGAGCTAAGCCCCCTAAGGCCTCTGTATCCCACACCTTTACCTGTGTACGTTTATGACTAAGAAGGTGAGGATTGTTTACACTGGTTATTGCTACTTTCTGGGTAAAATTTTTCCTTGGGATATCCAGTTGCGACCGTCTGCGCTACCGCATTTATATAGCAATGGTGAAGTGCTTGCGTTTCACCGCTTGACACAACGTAACTTGTTTTGAGTTATTTTCATATCTTGTTGGTGTGTGTGTGTGTGTGTGTGTGTGTGTGTGTGTGTGTGTGAGAGAGAGAGAGAAAGAGAGAGAGAGGGCAACACTAAATACCAATTAAAGCATAAAAAAATTCCACTCTTCCCTTGCCCATTTATCATTTATGAAAACGCATCTCTCCACGTAGAACCTAAATGTACTTAAGTCTACACGATCTTGACATGTAACCTCAAAAACCAACCGAGTCCCGTGCGCTGTAACAAGCATTCCTTTCAGCAGTGATCAAGGACGGGTGTAATGCCCACCTCAATGCGTCACTGTTCGAAGGAATTTCGACAGTCGCAATCGAGCAGAGATGATCGTAAATAAGATCTTGGCTATCAGTATCAAACTACACCTATCATTTAAATATGTGTGCTTTTGTACTTTTAAGGCAAATATAGTGTGTGTATTTGTTTGTTTGTGTCTGATATATTCTGAATTCCAAAAACGGGGATTGGGTGTTGTTGGGGGGTGGGATCCAAAAACTATTTTCTGTTCATTCTCTTATTCCTGATCCCGGTCTTACCCGATTAAGACCTGTACCGGTTCGGGTGTTATGTACGTGCAAGCATGCAATATTCCTGTTAACTTCACGGAATATAAGTCCACCATGCGAACATCGTGGCGTCAAAAATGCACCTGCCACGCTGAAAGGAGTGACGGGTCACACACTTGACAATTCAACCCAATAATTTAAAATGTATTACAAACGTAACAAGCCATATAAGATATCTGCCCTGTAAATCATTTCTAAATTTATCAGGAGATCTGTTTTTACTTTAAGGAATTTCGCATTAAGTACAGGAGCGGTTCCAGGGGCTGCTTAATGAAGCTGGTAACAGTCCAAATCGGCAAAAGATGAAATCGGTTTAAATTAACGCGCTTCTGGTCCAGATAACGCAATCAAAATGCAGGCCCGTAGCCAGCAATTTCAAAAGTTCTTTTTTCTGAAAAAGTGGACCTTTTGCCGCGAAACCTTCGTGTATCTAGATCAAGTTCTACACAGAAGGGGCCTTTTCCCGGCAAAAAGGGGGGGGGGGCTCTTTCGAACCCCAGGTACACCCCTGGCTACGGGCCTGAAATGACAACGCTATCAGGTAGTTCAGGATTTGTGGTGTCAGCCATAAAGAGAGAGAGAGGGAGAGAGGGAGAGACGGAGACAGGGAGAGAGAGAGTGAGAGAGAGGAGAGGGAGAGGGAGGGATCGAGAGAGAGAGAGAGAGAGAGAGAGAGAGAAAAGAGAGAGCGAGAGCGAGGGGGAGAATAACGTGCACGCAGTTGCTCTCACGCCCCAACGAAAATGATTCACAGCTCTGCAATTTTTTGATAACGCAACGTCAAGAAATTAACTGACCTAACCGAGACACCCAATGACTTAACAGTTCATCTCTGTCTAGACAAACGCGTATTATGATAACACACCTATAAAAACCCCAACAATCTACAATACAAAACCGACAGCGCTAAACGCAGTCTAAAATAACTAGTACGATGTCAGAAAAAAGACATCTATCATTTTTAGGATTTGGTAACACCTATTTTTTTGCTTTTTCTTTTTATTTTTTATGCCATGGCACCTGCCATTCTTATGGTTGGGAAGCACCATGTTCTTTTTACTATTCTGACTTTTTCTTTATGAAGCGTCATGGCATCCTAGCCTTTTATTGATAAATTGTCATTGTTGCCGCAAAAAGCTACCTCGATCCCGCCTCCATATCTATCAACGAAGAAAACTTTGAAATGAATAAAATACATTCGTATCAATGACACAATAACGCTATTGTAAGATAGAAATCGACTTCACAAGGGATACAGGCCCTTGTGTTGCCCTGTCAGATATAGAATTATAGCGACCCCCCATTGGGTATAATTTTTTAATTTCTTATTATTATGTTTTCCGAAAGTACAAAGTCTAATAGTCTCAATGTGCCCGCCCCCTTCATGTAGCAGAAAGAAGTAAAGAAAGAGAGAAAAAAGGACAAAACAAAAGATGAATTATGAAGAAAGACGACATAAAAACGTTTTTGACAAGGTATTTCTGGCTGCGTCGGTTGACAAATAGTAAAACTTATTTTATTTCACATGTCATTATTTATTAATTCATTATTCATAATTTCTGTGAGACGTGATATTCTATGATATAAAAGCGACATAAAAGCGTTTTGGGCAACGAATTTCCGTGGGCATCGATTTACGAATAAGAAAACTTTATTTCTTCATTTTTAATTATTTATCAATTTATTAAGACCGGTTTTTTTGTTGACAACGTTAAACTCTATTAACTTTGACTGCAGTGGTATCCCATCGTTTGAATACACTGGCGGTGTATTCACAACAGTTCTAAGTTAGGACAGTCTTAGTTCTTAGTGTAGAATGTATACACATAAAAACTGAGGCACGTTATCTCATTATTGTTGCATTTAACATCTCTGTGTACTATATATACATTACAAAGCACACATTTGAAAATATAGCATTTTTAGTTCAATACGCTATTATTATTATTTTCTTATCTAACGGGAATTCCCTGTGCGTGTAAACAGTTCTTCTTTACCTAAATATAATATTACGAGTGATGTACGGTGCCAAGCACAGGACAATTTATGCTCCTCTCTCCCTCTCTCATTGTGTGTGTGTGTGTGTGTGTGTGTGCGTCCCTTACCCCAACTTTTCGTTTCTCTCTCTCTCTCTCTCCAAAGATAAAAACCCTAGTAGTAAATACCCTGGGATCGCAAAGCATATCATAGGAACAATCGGCCATCGTCAAAGTTATCATATACGGGGCTCAAAGAAGACCCCTGGCTGTTAATCATTGTATCTGATACACACTGCAACAACGTGAACATTGTATTGGACAGCTCTGCGCCCCCAGTGCTCTGTAAGGCGTGTGTTTCATACATGTAGTAAAAGACAGTGCAGTTTGATGAACAAATAACAACTGATTTTTTGAAATTTCATCACAAATACACTATTTTTATGAGCCGTAATGGTTGTAGCATGTTATGATGCTCGTCGCCCGTCGGTCCATCTGCATGTTCGTCTGTCTGTCTGTCCATCCGTCCGTCTGTCCGCCCTTGAACAACACTATTATTTCTTTTGCAAATTACTCCTTTATCGTTTCAATTCAACAATTATTTGTCAATTGTTCTATACATTTGGACCTTTGGTTTTGTCTAATTAACCTGTTTATTATTTATTCAAAATTAAAAACTACATCTAGGCTAATTTTGATAAAGCACTGTATAACTTACCGCTCTGCTCTTGTTGTATGCACTTTGAATCTATTCCTACTGCTGTAAGCTGTATTTGTCACTGTAACTAGACGTTTGCTGTTGTGGTGTCACAATGACGTTGTCGTCAGTTGACACCGTTGTCGCTTTTGTTACAACTTTTCAGCTGTGTGTTCGTACCACTGACAATTGTAATTATGATTGCTGCTGTAATTACGATATTGTCATTGCACTGTTAACGAATGCTGTTTTTGGTACTCTTTACCGATCTTTTGTTGCGCGCTTTACACAAGCTTCTGAAATTATTTTTCATTCATTTTATCATCGACCTGTCTGAAGTAGCTGGTGAACGTTGTCAGTGTCGTTGTAATTGTGAGGGCATCTCTATACTCTCTAGCGTTCAGTTGTTATTGGTACAAATTTCTATTTCTGACGGTGCCTTCAACGACGTTCATGTTGAAAAACAATATTGTCGCTGTTATTGCTATCATTTCAATTTCGGCTTTCCGTTTGTTTTTAAATGTGTTAGCAATTACAGATATTGGCAACAATACTGCTGTTGTATATTCTGATTCTATGTCACCGAGTATCCATTTTTACTCACGATATTCCGTGGGGACCATTATTCGTTGTTGGTTTTTTGTCGTTGTTGTCACTTTGAACTTTGCAGTCTTTGTTATTATCACTAAATATTCCCACCATCAGCCGAGTCCGTATCAATATTTCCAATGCACTGTAACACTGTATGTGCTGCTGCCTTCTCACCGCGACTGTTAGAAGTTGAGATGACTACTGATATCGGCTGCTCGACGTGGCACTGTAATATTGCAGTTGTCACACCATTGTCTGTCCTGACAGTGACAGCTAACATTGTGAAGCTAACATTCCACTGTGTTCTACCAACATTCCAACAGCTTCGGTTACATGAACCAACAATTGCTGAACCAGTAAATTACAGGCTGTAGATCGCGCAGTTTTCCAACAGCAAGCAGTCACCTACGTCCTCTGTGTCACATACAGGCAGCATTAGCCCGGCTCAGAGACAAAATTAACCAAAATTACGACTCGAGTCGGCTCTGGCGGATAAAATAGCCGCATTAACGCCAAAACCGTCGCGTCTCCTTTATGTAAAATTGCAAGAAGAAATCCCAGCCCGATGCACGATTGTGTTGTCGCGGTATCGCATTTCGCCTCCGATATATCACCAGAATGACGGGCGTAGTAATCACCGCCACGGCTGACACCTTGGTCTTTTAGCGGGGGTTAAGAGGCGCTTAAAGCGTTCACTTAAAGCAAAAAAACTGTTCACTATAAATCTTTTTATGGCCATCTCGGTATCTTCACGGTGGTGGAGAAGGGGTCAATCGCGTGTCATTTAGATCAAAGAGGGCGGTGGGTCAGCGTTCCGTCTGACTGGTCAAGGGAGGACTGTGGCTGTAGAGGTGGGGGGTGGGGGGGGGGGGAGTGACCAGTGACCAGGGGAAGGGGGAGCAATAAATTATCTGGCAGTTGCGTTAAGGCAATGTTATGTTGATATTACGAGCGTGAGTCAGTACGTCAGGTCCTTAAGCCGGTGTTGGGTTGGGAGACGGGTTTGAGGGAAACTTTCTTACCACAGAGTCCGCTGTATTCATTCAACGTTATATGCTATATAACGGGGATATTTAGAGAACAATTATGGGGGGGGGGGGGGGCGAGTTACATAACATTATATCAGAAATTGCAAAGAAACGAAATACATGACTCGATGGAGGAGTGTGAGCCCCCAGTCGGGGAGGCAAAGTGGGCAAGTGTCCCCCCCCCCTCAGCTGCGTATGCCCTTAAGTTGTTCCTTAAGACAAATCCAAGCAATCCACCCCTCCTTCTTCGTACATTTCCTGACATGCTGAGTGAGTGAGTGAGTCTTATCTTTTTTATAGGAAGGGCGGTGTGTTTTTTATTTTTTTATTATTATCTATTATTTATTTATTTATTTATTTATTTGGGGGGTCTTAAAGCATGTGCGGTGCACGTGTCAATTATTGAGGAGTAAACGTCACCAGTTAACGTTACGACAGAGCCCGAGAAAGGTTATGTAAGGGCATAGCAGTTAACATCGTCAGGAATGTTAGGATTGGGGGCGTACGTGTGAAAGAATTGCAGGTTGCACAACTCTCCGCATTTACGTAAGTAGATCGTAGGCTCTATCAATCACCAACACTTTCGGGTGTAATACTATTGTTAACGCTATTTTTAATAAATGCCTACATATTTTAGCATTGTAATGCTGGCAAACATAATTTGACAAATGGAGCCATTGCGTAACCAAGCGTGCTAAAAAGAATGAAAAAGGAGTCAGATCATCATTTATTGATGTCAGATAAACAAATTATGTGCCTCTTAAATAACACTGACTTCTAGGCCACGTGAGATGTTTTTTCTTTTCGTATTTTCTTCTGATTTTTTTGTGGCGGCGTCAGGATGACGCAGGGGGGAGGGCAGACTGATGGTTGTTAACAGGGAGGTCATGTGAAGTTGCCCACATCATTGGGAATGGAGGTGTGACTGTATGAAATTAAGTTCCCATCAGTTCTTACTTGTTCACAGGCCAGGCCTTAATTCAGGTAGAAGACACGTTGAGCGTTGATTGTGCTTGCAGAGAGAGAGAGAGAGAGGTCAGAGAGGGGGTGAACGAGAGAGGGGTGTAGTCATGCATTTATTTATTTATTTATTTATTTATTTATTTTTTTTTTGAAATTCTGACTTTTGCTAGAAACGATATAAACACGGTTGTTTTCTTGCGTTATTTTCATTGCCCTATATTTTTCAGACAGATGCCCTGTGTGTCGCAGCTCGGCAGAACTCGGCAATCTCCGCCAGATGAGTTCGGAGGCAAGAGACAAGCTGGATCACGTGACACTCAGTTGCGATAACTATGATTCTGGATGCACAGCTGTCATGAGGATCCCACAGGTTTCTCTCTCTCTCTCTCTCTCTCTCTCTCTCTCTCTCTCTCTCTAACGGTAGAGTGTGGAAATGAAGAAACAAATAAAGTATATTTATTGTCTCTAGAAAGGAAAATTGTATTTTAATAATCGACGCCAATAACTTGCATGAAACCGATACAGTGCATTAATTGTCTCTAGAAAGGAAATCTGTATTTTTATAATCGACGCCGTAAGTAGTGTGTTTTCCAGTAATATATTTACTAAGTAATTTAATCAAAAGAAATAAAAAAATATTTTGATTAAACTAAATTTTATTTTGAACATCCCCTTACAGCGCAGTAGCCATTTGGCTGTGTGTCCTTTTACCAAAGTAAATTGTCCAAACAAAGAATGCACAGACACCTTCCTCCGTCATCAGCAGCGCGCCCACGCTGTCACGTGCAAGTACCGTATCGTCTCGTGTGGTCAAGGCTGTGGACTGAAGATGGCGCACGTGGACAAGAAAGAACACAGTTGCATCCGGGCACTTCGAGAAGAGATGGACAACATGCGAACGCAGTACCTTGCAGATGCCGCTGCGATAAATAAGAAATTAGAAGGTGGTTGCATTAAATGTATTTCAAAGTTTGCCACACAAAATATATGAGCCTGCTTGAGATATTTCATCCTTTTTCGAGAAATGTCAGGACCAGAAATGTCACAATGCAGACAACTGAACGTTCCAGGATTTGTTACGATATCATTTCCGAACCAGATTTTAGATATATGTACAGCTAGATAATTGCATTTTGTAATTTGAATTATTTCATATTTCAATATTGAGTGCAATGAAGATTTACGCTTCGCTATCATCTCACAAGAGGTTTCTTGTGAAGAAGGAAAAAAGTAGCCTTTTTGTAAAACATTTGTTTGAAATCATTATGAACGATGTTATAAAACTTACACAGCATTCAAAAGAAACATGAGGCAGCAAACAGAGTCATCATAAGCTTGAACGTTTGAGTCACCAGCAAAGAAATTATGAAGATTGTGAATTATGATTATGAAGTGATTATGAAGGTTTTGCATTCCAGCAAACCAGTAACAGAAGTCGTAATTGTTTTTTTTTTTTTTTTTAGAGCTAAGTTTCCAAATAAGACTAGGACGTGAGGCGAAAAACAAAGAGATTCGAGCATGTTCAGCAAATCGACAAAGAACAAGAGGTTGCTCTGCGTCTCATCTACTCAGAACAGGTTGGTATGCCAGGGGGGGTTCGGGGGCTCGAAAGCCCCCCCCCCCTTTTTTTTTTGCAGGGAAAAGGTCCCCTCTGGGTAAAATATATTTATGTACACGAAGGTTTCATGGTGAAAGGTCCAATTTTTCAGCAAAAGAACCTCCCCCCCCCCTTTGAAATTGCTGGCTACGGGCCTGGTATACTTAAGAAGCATAAACAATGTTATCATGGATATAAAACCATTTGACATTTACAGAGAGATTTTGGTCTTCAAACTAGAACCGGTGTCAATGTCTCGAGTCTGACGCTATCCAGTACACATCGCAAGGACTTTGGAAGCCGATCTTTCACATGACTGATGACTTAGGCATCCATGTTTTCTTGTAAAATTATGGATCTGTGTATTCCTTTCAATATTGATAAACATCCGAATAAATGCATGCCAAAATTTATCCGAATCTGTCGTCCACATACACAAACTGGACAAGAGAATCAGAGTAATCAAAGTTATAATGCCTGGTCTACTTATAATGTGATTAATGAGTATAAAACTGCTGTACCATGAAATTGTATTGTTGGTCTTTTTGTGAAATTTGATGTTAATAAAATGATACCAGGAGCATATCATTCCACAGTCATTTATCTCCCCCAAAGTATTGGTTCAGTAGGGGTGGCACTTCTATTGTCCAGTGTGTGTAAAACACTGTAGTAGGAGTGTTTCTTTTTTCCTTCAAATACAGAGCTTTGAATTTCTATTGCATTTCTAACTTTTTTAAATACAGAACAGCCCAGTAGAAATCTCTTGCAAGTTTGTGATCAGGAGGACGACATTCCGGAGCATGCGCAGACGATCAAGTTACCCAGAATCGCGCCACTGCATACCGCTATGAACATCACTTTTGCAGCAGGTCAGTTTTTGGTATTACGCCGGGACAAAGATTGCGTTAGTTGAGCCCGGTAGAGTGGAGAGATTCTTTTTATTTTAGTATGAGCGCATTCAGAAAAAGATGATCTGCGGACTAACTGATCCGCCGACAAAATATGGCCGATGCCGCTAATTCCCTGATGCTCTCTCCCCTTTAACACTTGCCGTAGCTTCAGGGACATAGCAATTTTAATTGCTATGTTTAAAAACCTCGGAGTTGAGATTAAATCCGTTAAATGGTGCGCGTGGAGTCCTGAATGCGCTCTATTTTACAATGCGGATATACTACGCATACGATGAAATTCTACCTTATACTATATTTATTTCTCTATTATTGTTGTTTCTTTATTTTTTAAATTACAGGAAATTGCTTAGTTTACCAGACACATTACAAAGAAGTTGGTTTAATCTTGTTGCGCAATTTAGCATAATCGTCTACATTAGAAAATAAAAATATAATTTTGTCTTTTTGTTTCAGCTAAAGGGCGTGGCCGACTGAGGCGTTCAAAGGAGAGACGAAATGGCGAGGTAATTACTGGTGATTGAAGAGGCGTGGAATTCATACATGTTATCCAATGAGAGCACTGATGAGAGATGTCAGTTTGGAGGGGGAGTGGCTAACTCTTCCGCACCAGAAGGTGGCGGTGTTGAGAAAACGTTATCACACGCTATATGTTGAAATTATGGCACTAAGATAAGACGTCCTAACTGCAATGGAAATGTGCCTCAGTAATTTACATTTTACTGTTAAGAGACAACTCCAGTCAGTGAAAATTGTGGACATTTGTGATCAAGAATTTATAATCATTATTTTTTAATATCGAATAATATCGAAATTTTAATATTTAAAAATGTTATTCAAATGATTGATGAAATAGACCGAATCCTTGTGTATCATGAATACAAAAACGATTGTCAAGAACTCTGAAATTACACCTACCGCTGAGAAATACATGTAACAACTGCATATAAGGATTATAATTTTATCTTGCTTTTTTCTTTTAACTTGGATGTTAAACATTAAAAAGATATATAACCTTTACAAGCGTCGTTTATCGATGGTTGCTTAGAGGCTGGGTAATCACCTCTAAATCTAGATCATTTTCAAGCAAAAGATGGTAAAGCTGCAAGACAGTTGATAAAAGACTCTCTTTTGATATAAATATCAAAGCTACCGTATAAAGGACTATGAGAAACTATAAAACTATGGAAAGCACACAGAGTACTTCGTAGTTGGCCGGTCATAAAAACGAAAAGCCTTTTTTTATATCGAGAGATCGATATGACGCCTAGAATCGTTTGAGAGTCAGATATTGTTCTGCCAGGGTAACAGGGTGGTAGACGGCTGACATTTACATTCTTAAGTCCGAAATCTCTTGAGAGCAGGATGGTTATAGTTTAATTCAATGACAGATCGAACTCTGTCGTCTCTGGTTCAATCTTACCGAATTTTATACTTAATTACTGCTCCTTTCTGTAAGCAAATCTTCGTGCAGAGATTATAGGGTTATGCCAGCAGTTTCCATAAAATTACGTTCACAGATTTATCGCCTTTCGTCCCCAACTACTCCTTTGAGTCAGGCAGTACCAGTCTTTCCACTCCCTCCCTCTCTCTCTCTCTCTCTCTCTCTCTCTCTCTCTCTCTCTCTCTCTCTCTCTCTCTCTCGTGCCATGAATTATACAGGGACATATCTGCGAATATCTAGTGAGAAATTAATCTGTGGTCCTGAAGAGGGTGCGATATAAGTGCCTTGGGAGACCTGTGGGTTTTAGTAAAGGATTATATAGTGCATCGAAGGGAAATTACATAATACGAAACGAAAAAGAAAAAGCAACGCCCTTTTTCCATATTGAAAACCTTTTAAGGATAAGGGGTGCCGCAAAAACTGTTGTGAGAAGGTCATGCGACCCAACGTGAGCTCCCCCCACCCCTACCCCCGTGCAACCACCACCAAGCCTACCCTTGACCCACCATTTGATTCAAATAACACGCTGGTACTAGTACTCCAGGCTTATTAGGTGAAGTGTAGAAAGTTAGTTCTATTAATCTTCGATCCTTTTTTAAACCTCGTCCGAACTGGACGTCACACTCATGTCTCCTCTCAGTTTATCGATCCACTTCGTGCTCGTGGCAGTGTCCGGAACACCTCGGGTGATTCCATATTGCGTATTAAGTGCTAAGATACGGAATCACACGAGTTATTGCAGGGTACGTGATGCATAGTACCATACGTGAGATAACGGGAAGCTTATCATATCAAATAACAATGGCGAGATAAATTGTTTTAAGGACGCCCTTACACCATATTCACTCTGATTTGGGAATTTTAAAATAGAGACGTAAAGGGCCAAAGCGAAAAGATAGGCAATAAATGACCTAATTTGTATTCCAGTGCTGCATAGCTGTCTTCTATCTCTAGATTTACCGTCACTCAAACTGTAATTAACTGCTGGTCAAATAAATGAGGGGCGACACTGCAAGTCAGCTTGACCGTCAGTTTAACGTGAGCACCAATAGTACATTTGTCACTTGGTGGACTGAAAGCATTTTCGGACAAAACTAAGGATTTGGGTTGGTGCATGGGGCTCCCTCACTTGCTTCTATACCTAATCTCTAGGCGGTGTGGTCATCGTTTTGAGCTGAGGTGGGTATTTACATTTTCTGTTTTGGTATTTACTTTTCTTCAAATGATGACACAATGTGAGGTAATTGTTGCTATATTGACAATCATTCTCACATTGACAATAATACGCAAGTCATATAGTGCAATGTCCACTTTAAACTTAATTGAATTTTAGATAAACCAATGACGTCAAAATAGTGGCTGTTGAATTTCAGTGAGTTAATAAGTATAACTAGTCTGATAACGCTGTGATCTAAAATTTATTTTGGACTTTACAAGCATGAGGTCAACATTGCAGATGACATGCGAAGGAGCACATTGAACGCAGACGACATATCAAACGTCTATTTTGTAGTTGCATACGGTGGAGGAATTGGCTCTGATGCAATGAATATACATACAAGCTTTGCACAATTAACCCCACATAATCAGATAAGCTTGATTTTGAAGATAACGATGACACTCTGTGATACAGGAACGTTATGAACAGCACTTTGAGCATCAGGGTTACGTATCAAATGTTAATGGATAACGCATGCAATTAAAAAAAGATCCCCCTGCCACGAGTTATAATGTCACAGCCCATGTGAATTTGGATACAGTTAACTTTGATCTTTGATCGTATTTAATCTAATTGTTGTCTCCTCCAGGTTTTCCTTCTCTGGTGTGAGAAAAGATCTGTTCAATTATCGCCTCGCAGGCGTTCTGGTCGTCAGTGTATAAAAATCAATGAGGAAAAGGCTTTCGTGAGAACTAAAATCGTGACTTGTTTCACCTAACCTCGCCAACCTCGTCAAACTGGCAGAACGGTGACGTCACAGAATGGCGCTCGAAGCAGCAGACGACCCTCAAGCTCCGGTCTTATTGACGGCGGCAAGGATAGAAAACTGTGGAGACTCCTTCGCTAAACTGGTACGCCTGATGACGCTTTGCGATATAGACGCGGATCAAGTCGGTACTGCAGAAGAAGCGAAAGAACTTCTGCTTCACGCAGCGGATGTGAACACGGAAATATTGACTCTTTGCAGACACCGCCAGCAGGTATGTTTTCTTACATGCATTATAATTTATTCCTCTTATTCTGTCTTAGTAGGCCAAGAAATATATTTTTGAAAAACGAATGGTGTCAGTGCAAGTCAATTGAAGAAATCGCAGACATAAATCCCAAAGCCTATGGTTGGAATAGGAAGAATACATGTACATGATGTATCACTTGTATATTTGTGGGTGAAGTTTGTTCTAATCCATAAAATTTAATCATTTTTGTACAGAGGGGGGTGGGAGGGGGAGGGGGTACTTCAAACACGTGCCACTCCCTTAGCTTTGAAAATGATTCGTGTCCCTTTCCCACCCATCGCCCCATTCAAGGGAAAAAAGGAAAAAACCCAGAGTAATGAGCCCTTAGAGACAAAAATGAATAAATTTTCACTTTTGTGCCCTACGCAATATGGCCACTTTCTCTTCGTTTACCGTTTTATATTGGTTTTATAATTGTCTTTATACTCAATACTCCCACCTTCCTTGGCAAAATCCCAGATTCAGGGGTGATATAAGAAGCTTAATAATAATAATCAGATTGCCACAGTTGTTGTCGTGATTTGTAGTGACTTTTCCTTGTTTTCACTCCACAGTCGCCTCCACATGGTGTCGAGTCAAGACCGTCTGTGACCTCCTTTGACAGCGTGGACTGCTCTGAACCCTTGGACACTGAGGTCTCCATTCCGAGTGATCTGCGGGCAGGTTTGTGGCGTTGTTATTGTTTTTGTTGTTCTGTGTGTGTGTGTGTGTGTGTGTGTGTGTGTGCGTGTGTCTGTGCGTGTGCGTGTATGTAAGTGTGTGCGCATATGCTTATGTGTGTATGTGTGTGTGTGCGTGCGCGCATGTGTGTGTTGCGTAAATTTGCGTGCGTGTATGTGTGTGTGTGTCTGTTATCTCTTTCTCCTTTGCACTACTCTCTCTCTCTCTCTCTCTCTCTCTCTCTCTCTCTCTCTCTCTCTCTCTCTCTCTCTCTCTCTCAAGCACACACACACACACACACACACACACACACACACACACACACGTATTCCCATGCTTTTTCTATCCCTTCTCCTTTTCATCCACCAAGTAACCAAGAAATCACTTCTCCCTACTGGATTTCTTGCAGGAATGTACTTCCAGAAAGTTACGTCACGTGGCCTCGAACACCGGCGGTTCGTGCGCGTGGGACTAAGTAGCCATGGTGACGGCTTGGCGTTGCTATGGGCAGCCAAAAAGAGAGCTATTACAGAAGGCCAAGTAAAGACCCTCCCCCTGTGCATCGTAGACAAAGTGATGACGTGTACGATTAAAGGTATTCAATGATGTCCTCAACACCCTTAAGACCCTTTTCCCATACCTAGATCGATCTAACAGGATCGACCCATCTCCAACGGGTTTCTCGCTTAATTACATTCAGCGTAAGCGACTCTGATGTCTGTCATGCCTACTGAAACTGTTAGGGGGTAATTAACTAGCGTTTGACAGCTTACATAGGCGTGCCAGACATCTAAGCTGCTTAATCTGATTGCAATTTTGTGAGAATCCCCTCGAAGATGGGTCGATCCTGCTATATCGATCTAGGTTTGGGAATGGGGCCTTATGTTTTTTTTTTCTTTAGGTGCCCAACACTAGTGTTAATGTACTTTCACCTTAAACGCTAACAGTTATCACGGTTAAGTGATGCAGTATAATATCGGGTTCATATAGTCACGTGTAGCGCCGAATTAATAAACCTGATTTTGGGCTAAATCCCGGAAGTAGAGCGTATGGTTACACCTGACGATCAGGGAGTTCATAGATTAAGTGACCAACACATTGCAAGTCCGAGAGTGTTTTAACTGGCGCCCCCTAGCGTGACACAAACATTTAAAAGAGATCCCCAAAGAATTTATTCCCTCAGCACTGCTATTTCAAATGATTTTATCGATTACATTGATAAATGTCTACTATAACGTAACGTAGCTGCTGTAATTTTTTTTTAATGTTTAGGTCGAAGCGCTATTTAAAAAATCAAGAAAGTTTGTTTTAATATTACATTTTGAGCACGGTAATTTCGTGCATAGTTCAAAAACCTCACCTATTGCACAAGTTTTTGTCATTGATTCGCTTACTAACTAGTCTTCTTCTCAAACTTACATCTACCT